CCGCATGATTGAGTGAATGCCCTAGTGGCGGCAACTGAAAGTTTGAGTAAGGTCGACACGCAATGGGACATGAAATTGTGTGCGCAAATTTCAGTTTCTTCAAGGAGCAAGCATCACCAAGTGCAAATCTGCAAATCTATCGGATTTAGTATGGTGTGTGGCTCGGCTCTCTCGGTATCGCTTAGAAGCAAAAATTTACCAAAATCATTTACGGGATCTTGGAAAGCCGAAAGAGTAATAATTGCTTTGATGGCGACGTAAAAGGTGGTGGGTATGATTAGAGCATGCCTTCACATTGAATTTCATAGATGGGTTGGCAATCATACAAAAACGATAGTTATTTTGCATATTATTGCATTACTCCTTTTACCGGTAGCTATTCAGTGGACCTAAATTGTGTCAATCATTATTCGCTTTGCTGTTTCCCCACTGGTCAACTATCATCCTGCAGGCTAACCATCTCGAGCTATTGTTTTCTAAAAGGAGTATTAGTAGTTCAATGCAGCAACTTTGAGTTTCTGCTTCGCCATGAATTTCGTTTCACTTCTTTAATCCCATTTAATTTGAATGCATCACATCGTTTTATCTTTGACTAGTTTCTGCAATTTTTATTCGGCGCAAACTGCTTTGGGGTGAGTCTTTTTGGATTGGACTACTTTTTATTACCTAACTGATTAAAATTTACAGATTGCGCCCACACCAGAATGTGTTCAAAAAGGAAAATGTCTAGTAAAATCGTTTCCATCACTATTACGCGCTAGCTCATCTTTCCCCAGTTTGTAAGTGTGCATTTTTCAAAAAAACAAAACAGATGCAAGTTCTTGAAACGACATCAAAGGAAGATTTCAAATCTTTTAGTGGAGGGCTTACGAATGCGTAAACGTTGGATAGAATACAGTTTAAGATTAGTAGGTGATTTATCTTACCAGACATGCGTGAATGTGAATTTAATTGATAATCCTGCATTCACTTCATGTAGTGACATCTTTTCAAAGACTGGATGCCATGCGTTCCTATTACGCCTTATGTCTTGGCATGCCAAACTGCCGCTCTCCCTTACTAACTCACAAGCCTTGACGCGTTAACAAACAGTTTGGACTCTATTGTTTTAGTCTCATTTCTTTCCTGCCGCAACAAATGAAATTGATGGTGATTAACATTTTGGAAAGCAAAACCTTAGTCCAATAATCTGCATTTTTATCAGTCCAAAATGCTCCCAACTGTATTGCCTCAAATAATTGACTGCTGAAGTCAGAAGTGTCATAATATGTGGGGTTTTCTCCATTTTCCAATGTATCTCCGAAAAGGGGAGGAATACCAAGGGAATATCAAGTTGGGTCGTGTCATAAATTGTATTAATAATTTGAATTCTCTACATAATTTACCATGTAATATGGATGAATCTTTATTAAGAAAGTCAAAGGAGTCATTGTGACAATAAAAAACGCGTCGAAGCACTCAGCTGCAATATTTTTAGCAACTTAATGAAGGTGATTTTGCTTCTAATCAAAGCTTAGTAAGTAAAGCGCGCAAGCGGCTGGAGTGATAAATGTTGCTTGACTGAAGTACTTTACCAAGATTGTTGTCAACATCCGACTCTATAAGATTTTCAGATACGTTATGCATTCAGAAAGTTCACGAGTTTTACTTAATGTTTTACTTGTATTGCGAAAGAAAATATCTTGCAGGGAAAATTAACTTCGACGCAATTTCGCACAATGCGAGCTCACAACGCTGATTGGAAAATGTAGAAATCCAATCACTGGTTCACCAAACATCCCACGCTCTTGGCAACAGTGCAATTAATTGTGCGTTTTTACTTAAGGTTTCAATCCGACAGGCTGGCCGGGAATCAGCAGCAAGGTCTTCACAGTGTGAGAGTGACTCATGACGTCTCTTGGTATAAGACTATCCGTAGAAGTGTAGCTGTAATCATGTGACTTCCCTGACCTTGATTATGGTTTTTAAAAAGAACTTGCCAGGGAGAAACAATAATCATTAGTGGGAAACCTGACACAGAATGTAAGAGTTTACCATCGATGAAACATCTAACACTGGGGAAGGTAGGAGAACCGATACTTTGGATATCCCGTGGCGTGAGTGAAGAAAAGAAACGCTTCAGAAGATTGATGGCCAACAACTTGCCTTCTTTGTGAAATGATGACTCATTAGGTTGATACCACTTAAGTAAGGGGGTCCACTGAGACATTATGTTTTAAAAACCCCCTAGTTTTAATAATCTAGAATTGGCTAATTGTTTCGAGCGTTCTAAAAGTGCATTTTCAAAGAGAGGTTACTCGTTACACCAGAAGTCCAAGTTTACAATTATTTTGAGAGTTTACCTCCGATGACTGGATTCCCAGCTGATGAAAGCCACGCTAGTTCAGTCCGTTACTCCCACGAACTACCCAATTTAATCATTTTGATAATCATTTTCCTTTGAACAACAATGGATATTCAAGAATAACACAAAGGGATAGGTTCAATGTGTACATTAACGGGTTAGTAAGCTACTATCCAAATTATTTACATTTAGGACATGAAAAGCAATTTTTATTGATTCCCTGAAAACTTTTTTCCAGATGAAAATGTAAGCCGTATTTGCTTGCGTTAGACAGTTCTGTGAAATTTTTGGGATAGAACGCAGTAAATTACTAAGTAACGCATTTTTTCGAACATGACTATGCTCCACCCAGGGTATTGGAATTTAGAGTTTTGAATTAAGGAAGTTTGCTTAGCAAGCTAAATTCAAATTACATAAAATCCTACTCCTTTTTGATCATGCATCATGTGATTGTGGGTAAATCAAGTAAAACGTGATAACTTTGACGAAATCAAATGAAATTAAGAATTATCTAGTATTTTAGAAGTTCATTAAATTTCATAAACGTGTGGATGCATAATTAAGGATTTGCCTAAAAATCGTAGTAAGCAGCTTCTAAATATAGGTCTAATAGTTTCAATCTCAGAAGTTGAGGTAAGAGTTGTAAAAATAGGTTAAATTTTATTGATACTACTACGACTACTACTAAGGGCTCTTAAGAATTCCCTTTGCAAGTGGAACGAGAGCACTTGTGCGCATATGTGGAATGTTCTCAGCCACTTGGCATTTTGTGCCGTCTTAATCTTGGCACAAACCCATGCTTGCATCGTGCGCATTTGACTCATCCTTGTAAGCGTAATAACCCCGTAATTGTGCGTATACTCATCAAACGTAACTTTTACCACGTGCTGAGCGACGTTTGTTGCCACAAACAGTTCAATGGTCAAAAAACCCCTTATTTCAACCATTTATAACATGCTCTTTTTGTGGTCAATTTAATGAACACTTCCGACTAAAAAAAGCCCTTCAAATGTCCTGCAATATCTTGAGCACTGGTCAAATATTCAAAATTAGTCTAACAATGTGCACTGAAGTATTGCTCGAGTCATCTAGTTTTTCTAGTCCAAGGTTACTGTTGAAGGTTTTAACACACAATGTTGCATTTGGAAGGTCCATCGAATAACTGCTGAGTCTCTTTTCGATGTGAATTTTAAAACTTATGGATAAATTAAAACTTGTAACTTAACTGTTTAAATAACCAAAGATAAACTCGACATCTGGGTAGCCTAAAGCCAATACTTATTTACAAGATTGTAAATAACTTAAGTATTTTAAATTAAGGCAAAACCTTTAATTTGAAGGAAAATATGTGCACGAGATCTATTGCATAAATGTTTTATGCAATTACATGAGTGAATTTCTTTATACTTCTCACGCTCTACCGCTTAATCTACATTTAATGGGTTTCTATAGTAAAGCCCCTGTTTCAGCGTAGCTCTTCATAAACTATTGGATAACCTATATTTTGACTTCTTGAACCAATAGGTTGTTTCATTCAGGTCTATTTATATATTACCACTGTAACAGCCGCTGACGTATGAGGTGCTCTGCGAAAAGAAAGTCTGAGTCACTCAAGTATCAGTTACAAATTATATGTTTTTCTAGCAGTCAGTAAAGCAAAGGTTACTGGATAAGTATTTTTGCATGAAAGATTGAACAGAAATCAAAACACCGAGCTTAAAAACCTCCCACTCATAACTGGTAAATAACATTCATCTGCAGTCTGGGGACCATCCCACCTATCGCCATCACACCTCTGATTACATTTAAAGTTACGGAAGCTTGCCTGATTCTCCCGTAGTTGAGTAATTGAAATTTAGCATGAATGTGCAAACTTTTACACTGATGCTAGTATATTATTTATTTAGCTATCTAAGGTGAAAAATTCCAGGATGAAAGCACCAAAATGAATAAATATTTGGCAGCACAGATGTTTATGGTGTAAATTTCGAGGTATAATCTAATTTCCTCGAAATTTATGATTATTGGCAAATAAATAAGTATACTTATGGGGACAGGGGTGGAAATGTTAGATAGCCAGAAATTTTGCTCATTTATTTTTGAAGTAACAGAATTTATCGATATAACTTCCATCTTATTTAAAAGAGTAAACTGAAGACAGCGCTTTTTAGTTCGAGTCCGCGGTTGCCATAAAATTGCACGTGACTGTTTGATATATGTAGGATCCACAAATTTACAAAATGATTTAATGTATAAATCATACAATTCTGATAAAATGCCATTAAGATACATTGTCTTACATGTTTTAGTTACGAAGAGGCCAAGCAATGTCATAGGACTTTTTTAATTAGTGGAAAGAAATTAATTTTATATGGCCTACGGACAGAATAATTATTGTTAGCAGGGTCATGTACAGTGAAGGATGGGATTAAGTGGCTTTTTTACTTTTTTGAAACTGGTGCTACAGCTACAACAATTGGCAATAGGTTACAAATTTAAAAGAAACTGCCCTTTGCATATTTTCCTTCCTATAGATCCAAAATTTAGTGACTAGTTAGCTAAATTGTTACAAAGAGAATGTTTTCTTGGTTCTAGCAAAGAAATTAACGAAATGAAAGAGTTTCCAAGGTTTAAATTAAACATGAACCACTTTCTTATTTTCTTACAAAACTCAACCAAGTATTTCTAGGCAAAAAACTGCGCCATTAACTACATTCATTGAAATCACAATTTAATGCTACATTTATTGGTTGTGGTAAAATTTTACCTCTTAAATTAATAATGTCTCAATTGATTTGCTGTAAGTGAAACCATATTGGTCAATTCCCTCTAAATCGCCGCAATTAGTAGAGGTATTATTTATCTACTGGTCTATTAAAGGATACTAGGTTTTTTCCTGCAAATTACCAATGAATAGAGCATTTCAATGAATCCGATAAATTTTGCAAACTCGACGAAAATGCCTAGTGAAATAAGACTTAATCTTTCTTCGTACTTTGAGTGGTGGTAATTTTTGAAAGCACATTTTCACAAGCAGTTTTTCTGATAAAAAAATCGATTAGCAATTTGCCTAAAATGCGCTAACAACCCATGTTAAATATTCCATTGCTTGAAATATTTCTTGATATGGGTGAAGAATCGGCCAAATTTATTAGACTGAGAAAATAGCTCAACATTCGTAAAAACACTAAAAGAATGGTTTGCAAAACACGACTTACCAAACTGTCCTACTTTTGTCACGTAGACCATTTGCTTCACTTAGGTTAATAAACTGACATAACTAATCAGTGACATTTTTTAACGCTTATTAAAAGTCACAATTTATGACGTTTTTTAATGGTCATCCGTGCTATCAGTCGTTCGTTCACAAATAACCCGCAAAAGAGCAAAATATTGTAATTTGATAGTATCACTTGACTTCAAGTTTCCTAAATTTAGGGCTTCAGTAGCTGCGAAGGAATCCAAAGATAACGAACATCGCTGAACCAATTTAGCACTATATATTGCTGAAAGAGATTTGGCAGAGCTGCAGTAACCTCATTCCAGCGGAAGTTGGATAGATTTTTTCATTAAAATATTGCCTTATTATAAATTTTGTCAATACCTTCAATGGTTTGAAAAATATTAAGTATTTAATGTCCCTATTTGCGAATGGTATCCAGCCAAGAGAGCGTGACTAAACAAAACGGAGGATCAGATATCACCTCTGGTTTCCTGCTCAGTAGGCGTGTTATGAATTGGCATATTATTTCAGCTACTATATTAGGTATGTATTAAGCAAAATCTGGAAAAGATGCAGCTTCATGTGATTCTGCTTTTATAATAATAATAATAATAATAATGAAAATTACCTAGCCTACGTTATTTTCATCAAGCTTAATACATATCATTAATAGCTTTCAAGACATAACTGGATGACTTTGGTTTGTTATTTTTCATAACTTTTTTTTTAATTATTGTTAATGAAATTTACAATCAATTTGACATTTGTTTTGCCATTCGTTTTAGTGTGCGCCTTGTACGAATATCGACGCCGGCGTAGTTCTGCGATGTTGTCTTTTGCGCGGACTTCGAGATCGGTATTCTTACCTCGCTTTTTGTTAGCACCTGCTTTGCATACTCCTTTCCGCTCTACTACAACCGGAAACCTGAAACAACCGTAATTGTTGTGGCATCGCATTTATTTCTTAGACCTCCAAATCCCAATCAACCATGTGAAGAGGTTGAAAAATATAAACCATACAGCCCGTTTCGGGTGACTCCTTCAAATAAGGCTGAGTATGTTATTGCAAGGCTAGATGATGTTGTTAATTGGGCTCGCAAGGTACGTTGTATTTTAAAGTTCGGTTGCATTTCAGAATTCAATTTGGCCAATTTCGTTTGGCTTAGCGTGTTGCGCTATCGAAATGATGCAGATGGCAGCCCCACGATACGACATGGACCGTTTTGGTGTAGTGTTTAGGGCTAGTCCGCGTCAGTGTGACTTGATGATTGTGGCTGGTACACTGACAAATAAAATGGCCCCCGCTCTGCGTCGCTTATGGGACCAGATGGCCCACCCGAAGTGGGCTATCTCAATGGGGTCATGTGCAAATGGCGGCGGCTACTATCACTATAGTTACAGTGTTGTCCGTGGTTGCGACCGCATCATTCCAATCGACATTTACGTCCCAGGTAGTTCCTGTGCCTAATTTCTTAGGTTATTGCTCCCAGTAAAAAGTTTGTATTTTACGACATCGTCCTTATTTTTAATTAAGTTTCTTAATAGTGTCTTAAAACAACTACTTATTTCGAGTATATGCGTTTTCGAAGAGCGATGTCATTATGCATTTAGTTCTTCGACTTTGCTGCCTCCGTTACCTCTGAAATTCATTTTAGGTTGTCCACCTACTGCAGAAGCACTATTATACTCTATTTTACAACTTCAAAAGAAGATCAAGTATATGAAGACCCAACAGATGTGGTATCGGAAGTAGACGCCTCCTGATTTTGTACAGTTGCCTACGTTTGGTTCAATCTTTGGCTCTTGTCATTTTTAGTTCAGATACCTGGTGTCCCAATGTAGTAAAAGCGCACACGTTGGCTTTTGATATGAAAGCTTTAGATTGTTAGAAACTTTCTTCGTTAAATGGAACACGCACCACTTCTCATTTATTTGTCCAGTATAGTTTTTCCCCACGGTCTAGGGGACACCATCTGATTTGGTTGTTTAATGCTAGTATGGCCATTTACATGTAAAAGGACTAATAACGCTTTAAGCGGATTGTTAGAATGCAGTTTGGGATCGCCTATAGCACCCTGGAACTTCCTTCGGTCTTCCTAACTTGAAAATTCGCTGGGGATTATGTTTAGGGTAGGATCTCGGGCCCATCTGGCAACATTATCTTGCATCTCGAGGTATTGGAGTTCCGTCAGGTCGGGACTGTCAGCGTAGTTTTATGAATCAGACTACTTAAGTAGTAATGTGCTATATGTGGGCACATTCGGTTTTTTTTTCACCCAAGCCCATTCTGGAGCCACATCGTACCCCACATTTGTATAATGGCATATGACATTAGCGTGCATATTTTGTGAGCACTCTGCGTTGGTAATAATCCATAAGGGTCTAGGTATCTCAAGTTTCGCATAACATGCTTTTCAAGGTCGGGGGCGCGCTATCCTAATTCGACGTGAAGGAGCAAGCGGAGGTGCGTCATGTTAGTGGCTATCGCTTGAAGGGTATTCTACAACTGTCGAAGTGTTCTCCTCATTTCTGCTCCCCATTTCCGCCTCAAGACGTTTTCAAATATCCATAACTAGGAAGATGCTTAGTTTTACTGGGTTATTAGGGAATTAGACACGGGTTACGCATAGTTCTTCACCAAAAAATGGTCAAACGACTCGCATGTCGAACAGGGTTGCGACCAGACAACATCAGTAGGATACTCCTAACAAACCTGATACATGTAACCGAAGGGAATTCATGCTTTTCGTAAGCCAGAGGAAGGGAAGGCAATCAAGTAAAAAATGTAATTGGTTAAAGTATGTTAACATAAGGGGGAGAGTTTCTATGATCATAGAAGGGCACTTCCTCTTTTACACAGCCGATTTGTGGATATGCGGGCAGCTTGTTTACCTCTCTCAGGATCAGCCTTGATGGCAATTGAGTTGAAAGACGTCGCTGGTGTGCACTTTCAAGAAAAGGATGTACAAGTGTTACGTTAGTCATATCATGTACATAATGCCGGGGGAACACATTTTTTACTATACATGTGGTATTTTGTGATTGGTGGCCTTGAACATCTTGGGAAAGTTCTAGCCTAAAAGGCAATAAAAACCCGAGTTTTTACCATTGAATCAGTAATCATTTGGAAATCTTAACGAACATGGAAGTACCGAGGTTCCTCGTCACCTATTTTTCATTTGGAGTCGCTTCCGTACGGTGTCTGTCAGAGATAAAAGTGGATTTTATTTGAGAAAATATAATTAAGAAATTACAAACTGAATTAAGTTACCTGAGTAGTATTTCACAATGGCCTCGCAAGCGAATTCGAATTGGGCCTAGATGGAATATGAATATTGATTTGGTGTGATTTATGCTACTCGCAGGATTTAAGTAAAGGATTGTATCTCACCGGTGTTTGAATCAGCATTTCCCTGTAATTCCGCATTTGATGAACCATCTCGAGAGGGTCAACCGGAGATCCGGCACGGATCATGTCAACAGCAGTATCAAGAAGGATGACAACGCCAGTGCGTCCGATCCCTGCCGAACAGTGGACCACAGCAGGCACAGAGTTGATCTCGCCTCGTAGCTGTCGCATTTGTTCAACAAATTCTATCAAATCACCGCAGTCTCCAGGCACGCCATGATCGGGCCATGTGACATATTGAAGCTGCACTACTCGCCGTATCTCGCCTGCTTCAGGAGAGGAGGTTTTGTCACCCGTGAAGGGGATAACGCGCAGATGATAAGTACTGGGGGGAGAATTGTGGGTTGAAAAAGAATTGGCTGTTGAAACGGTCCTCTGGAGCTGGAACTCCCTGTAGAATATATCCTTCCTCGGTTCCTCCTTGATGTTTGAAATCCGCAGTTGAAAACGTTTTCCAGATGTGGGGGATGCCTTTATGGACGACTTTGGTTGGTTCCATGTGTACTCGAATGTGTTTTTGGGATCTGGCCAGTACTTGTGGCACTTGAACTAAACGCGGAATTTAAAAGATCTGACTAATATGAAGCTATTCTCTAGGGCCATACTCGAAGTATTTCAAAAGTATTTAAGGCTCATGCACCACTGTTACTTTCTGATTCACCAATACCAGAAATTGAAACGTGTGGTCCTAATTCGTAGGCTCGCAACTTGATTAAAGTGCACCAATAAGGGTCACGGATAAAAGGAATACACGTTGGAAAATTTGCTATAGAGAAAACATTACTACTTCCCTGTTAGATATGGGGCGGAACAGGGAAAAACTATCTGCAGCACCCCATGAAAATGCCAATAAAAACCGGCGAACTGATTGCATCAAGAGCTCGTCTAGGCCTTATTAAGCACGATGAATTGCCCATTTTGGCTCAATCCATGACGCTGGTGTTTAAAGTCTGCACATTTAAAAATGCGAAGTGGTGGGATGTTTGATGATCACATTTTCGAAGAACCATTATTTCTTGGAGAACCGCTGTTCATAATAAAGAAAAAAACCTAATAAGGTAACCCTACCAAAAGTCAATTTTTTTGAATTTAGAAACAATATCGTTATGCGCACCAAATGCTACGATTGTGAAATAAATTTGTCAGGTAATTACATTCTTTAGAACTCAGAAACCGAGAAAATGCAGTGTATCCAGAGGGAGGAAGCATGTTGATCTTACATTATAATTGCTATTATCGTGTGTTTGGCGTAAGTCAAGTAAACAGTGCGAAGAGAGTGACTTGGTGCGAGGGTCGATTTGAGAACATGCGAGCAGGTGTTTAGATGTACTGAATGCGAAAATCATAAATACATTACTGGGCAATGGCCTACCCTTCCCTGTTCCTGCACAGAGGTGAGCATGACAATAAGTTCACTCTTTTGTTCCCAGCACATTTGCCAAAAGTCGAGGCACGTGTTTGGAAGGGGGCCTTGGGCCGCAATATACTCCTTCTGAAGATTCGCCTTGGGAATAGACATCTAAAGGATACACATTATAGCATGTTAACAGTAAAAATGAATAATTTATTATTTAATATTTCTAGAAGCCAAACGGGTGCAAACCAATCGTCCTAGTTACTTAAAATTGCCCCCCATACGGCTCTTTTAGCACAGGGAGGAAAGTCCAGAACAGAAACTTCAAATGGTGAAATGCTGCGTTCAGTGGAAATGTTTTGATGGCCGAGACTAATGGGTCAGAAATTTTAAATTTGGAGACATTCATGGTAGATTTCGCAAAGCACTCGCCACTGCCCTTGCCAGGATGCAGATTAAGGCGCCTGTCTTGACACTTAAGAAAGAGATTTTCAATTAAGTATGCTCTGGATATGCATAGAAAATCTTTCGACTAACGAGACCTGCAATTGAGTGACTTCGTGGAAATGAGCAGATATATTGCATTGGTAATATTTTCAAACCACGCTTAACTTGGGGCTCACCTTTACGAAACTGGCATTGATGTAATCTCCTGTGACGCCTTCAATCCTAACTCTGGTCTGGTCATCTAAAAGAATTAAAACACAACACAAACGACTTTTATATGACTAATACATTGACGTCAGCCTAAATTAGTAACATTTTAACCGTTTTCCTACGTTTTTTGGCTCTTGTCTGATTAGTTCATTTTTCGTTTTTCGATGTTAATACGTAAATGAAACTAAACTATTTCAGGTACTTTCAGTAATCTAATTGGATGTTGACCCGGTTGGATTATCGCAAACTAACTAATGGATTCAGTAAAAGTCTTCAGTCAAATTATCTGATTTATGATGAGGTGGGTCTCATGACGAAGTTGCGTGGCGTCATTAACATATTTCAGCTCTCCATAATAAGCCTTGACATCATAGTGCTAAGTTGACACGACCAGTCTTCTCTATACATAAGTCTCGAGTTAGTGTACAACTAGTGGCCAGTGACTCCAGACCCCCAAGTTCTCTCTCATGCCACCCTTTACATTTCGACTTTGGTTGCCTATTTGTTCTCCATAGGTGATGTAATATGTATTTTTTTTCAGCAAAATCCCAACTTTGTTTGATCGATCAAAAAGTCGACTCCATTGTCTTTGTGAATATAAATTCAGTAGAGACTGTTTTTCTCCCATGTATTTGTCAATGAACTGATGCATGACCGACCTGTTTACTACCTGTGCAAAACAAATTAATAACTCGTTTTAATTTCCCGACAAGCTTTTAATGGATTTGACTTGATGGCTTCTCTCAGTGCATTGACATCTGCCACCTGTTGACGCTGGGATGTGGTTCATCTTTAAAATTTTCATGTCCACCATGAAAACACGATGATCAGTCGAATGTTTTCATTTTATTTTAAGCGATTATGAAGAAATGTTGTGTCATGCTCTGTAGAGTTAGCAGCATTGAAATGGCATTAAACAGTGAGGCAAGGAGTCATGGTGAATTAACATGAAAAGAGTATGTAAAGATGCTTGGAAAACAATGGCTGGGGCGTTTTAGTATATCTTCAACACACACTATTTTATATGTATGACCGCACTTGTGCACTGTCTGTTTTCCGAGAAAAATTTTACCACAGTATTCATTACGGAGGTGTTTCTATTATTGAAAATTTCAAATGCACACACGAGAAGGGGCCACGGCAATCAAGCAAAAACTAAGTGTTCCAATTAACAAGAAAAGTTATCTTGTGAAAAGCAGAGACAATAGCTTACATGGAGAGATATCACGATAACGATTCTTGGGGAGGTTTTCATAGGACTTAGCATCGAGCATTGTGGCAGTTAACTTTCTGCGCTCCAGCAACTACAAGAAGGTTAAAGTTTGGGAGCTCAAACAAAACGTCCATGACAACAATTGAGACGTCGATATAATCCGAAGGGATAATTCGCATAATGCAATGACACCAAATTAGCTACATTAAGACATGTACATTAAGCTCATAAGACTTCGTTTAAAATAAGTATTACATCGTGTCTAAAACACTCGCCTCGTGATGCAAACTATTTTGGCAAGTTTTATCTTGCGAGAAAATAATTTGACACAGTGTAACAAAGAGGTGTCATTTGTAGTCAACGCCAAAATCCCACGCTGTTGCGTCATGTCTCACTCTATGAATCATTAGTTTCACAATTCCTGGAGTTGCAGCCACCTAATCCCCAGCATTAGCTATTCTGGAAATGTCAGTCAACGTAACACACCTCATTACGCGACTGACTCCAACTAACGTAATAACTGGAAAGAAAATCACCAGTTCTCAACTAATCCCGAAACAGGTGTGCCATGATGCAATTCTGTTCTAAAGCACTAAGAGTTATACAATCCAACCAGTAATTTTATCACGATCTATCCTTATTTTCTCTTTCCAAAATGCGAACAAAAATCGTGTAGAAGTGCGATCTTGGGACCCTGACATATTTTGGCAGGCTCCAAATACAGTATAGACAAATTAACATCAACCCAGTATCATCTTTACCAACTCCTCAGAGCAAAATGGAGTTGGAATGCAATAAGAAATTCGCAGCCAAATGAGAATGGAAACTTATTTGCTACTCTTGTTGACCAAAGGTCCTTACCTCAAACTGACGTATAAGTGATCCATCAGCCAGGCCGTTTTCAATTGCCTGAATCGAATGATGCAATCTCTCAGTGTCTGAAACAAGAATTTTCTTCGGTCCACTTCCAGAAGTGGATTTTAAACGCAATGTGCTGGAGCCACCTAATCGTGGTTTGGGGTTAACCTTTGGTGGTGCCGGAGGCGAAGAGAGGTAGTGCTTGGGGGAACCACCAACGCCCAATGCGGAAGTGGGGAGCCAAATAGGTGCCTGTGCTGACTCGTTCGCGGAAGCCTTCAGTTCAGCCATGGCGCTCTTGGGGGGACGGGGAGGCGCATCTCCAGTTTCGGGCAGGTGGTCGTCCGTTGCACTTTCCGCCAGATAATCTGCAGATAAACGACATTTTGGGTGGCTGCTGAAGCCTTAATTCTATGTGCAAAGCCTAACAGGAAATAAATCCACTGACTTAAATTAGCATGTCAAGCCAATCCAAAAAAGAAAGGCTTTGAAGTGATTGTGGGTTAAACACGAGGGGCCAACTAACAGCGAAATCGGGCTAAGAGGAGTGGAAACCGTTCTAAATGTTAATGTAAAGCGAATAAAGCAGACAGAGTCCGTTTGCTTAAATTGCAAGGGTAGAGTTGCAACATCGATTTTTGTGCCCCATTTCGGATTGACTTATTTTGGAAGCTAATCCCAAACCCACACTGAATCTAGCGTAACTTTATCAAAAACATAACTGGTTCTTAGTCACTGTGTTGAAGGCCCATATTTAATCAAAGGCCAAAGTGGTCAAAAGTGACGGCATTAATTGCTCAAGATTTACGGTGGCTTTTTTTGCCGAAGACGATTTTTGGCATAAATATAATATGAAAGACGCCTTTGTGTCAATTACTGTCAGATATAAGGTGCGTAAAGCTTTCTCTTTATTGAAAATACCATAGGATGACACTATAGAGGCTCGCATCAGTGGCTGCATAAAATGTGCCATGTCATTAATTTAAGTAGTAGTGCATGAAATGGCACTTGTTAAGAGATATTTTAATTGGCAATCAAAGTAAACTCTCAATAACACATTGGGTCCCAACCAACAAGGCACTTACCACTGGGTTTCACAATTAGTTCAAGCACGCCCGAATGATTTTCAGCAGCAGCTCGAATAAAATTGACCACCTGAAGTTTAGAGGAGGTTTTTCAATAGATAGTTGTTCATGTTACTTAAGTAGGTACTAATTCATCGATTGATTTGACACAAAACAAACACTAGTTGAATAATTGGCTACCATTTAAGGTGTTACAGATTTCTGGAAATATACTTGCGTGACCTTATTTCTCAGGGAACACAGGTAGAAATTTTGAATCCTAGATGGAAACCGGCGCACAAAAATTAAACCGCTAACCTATTTATTGATGGAGTAATAGAAAAAATGCACTACAGAATCTATTTACACACCCTGCCAATTGTAGGATTAACTAAACCAAAACTATTTAGCTTAAGCTTTAAAGGACTGCAATCAAAGCGAGAACCCAGGGACCACAAGTCTTCAAGCACCTATTGACGGTCTGAGATTGCCAACTCCGGGAAACAACAGGTGGTTTTAATGCAAGGACAATACAATGACATGGTTTAAAAAACCAACTGATTGGGGTGGTGGAAGTAGAGACAACACGTGATCGCAAATTTACTCAAAATAATTTGTCGAAGTCACGAATTTTAGTACCCGTGAAGACTGGGACAAATTTTTACATTAGACTGGGCTCCAGCAAAGGCAGCGACGGAGTGGGAAACTCGCAGTTCAATCAGACGACGGTGACCGGTCTATGCTGCCAAACCAGGCACACCTAGATCAACCTATTTCACGTACACGCCGAAGACTATTTAATCGGAAACGGGGGATATCGCAAATGTCTTCGCCCAACCACAGTCCATTCACATAGCCCGGAAGCCACCTTTGTGGTCGGCCAAAACGCGGAAGAGGTAACTTCCCGACTCCCACTGACTCAGAATAAATTATTCTGAACGGTAACATCTTTCATCATATCACAGTTTCAATGATCATCATTTCACCAACGTTAAGCACAATCGAAAGACTTCTAAATCTCTGGACGTTTTTTATCCATACCCTAGACTTGCCTATAGTTTCCAACTGCAGAACACATTTAAAGAATAAGGCCCTAGTGCTGACCCTTGAAGCATTAAATCCCCTCAAATCCTTTGGAATGGCATAAGTGGAAATTATGTTAGAAAATGAGCATGCCCATACTGTCTGAAAAGATCATCAAGGGTAATCAGAGTGAAAAAGTCTCAAAGTCAGACAGTTTCAAAGATAGTAATTCGTCGGATGTCATAGATTACTCCAAATTTCCAACCTGCTCCGGTTATCTGAAGGTTAAATAAACCCAATCTGTCTAGGCAAAAATTACAATTACAATTCAAACCTTCAAAATAATTTAGAAATGTCCTAACACAAATTCATAAAGGTCACGTAACGGTTGAAAGCGATTTTCTTTCAATGATCACAGATGAAACGTTAACACAATTTACTTTTATGCGAATGTCTGAAATGGTACATTTGGTACACAAAAGCGATTTTTCTTTTGTAAAACACAGTAGGTCTATATCATGCCCTTAAGACAAGACTTATGTGAATGTAGTTACAAATAAACTAGGATCTTTTATAAAGCTGATAAAAGGAAATTGAAAAAAAAAACATTTGGCCCTACTATGCGAAACAGAAACTTGCCTGCTGGTGCGTGTGGTCTGAGATTTCGCGGCCATTAATTCGAAGCACCTGATCCCCGGGATGAAGGCGTGGGAAACAGGTGCCTGCAGGCATCTCCTCGCCGACTCGAGTCACAATGACGGGCTTATTCAGATCTGCCCCCCCGTTCACATTGAATCCGAATTGACCCTCTGCGTTAGGACGAATACGCACAACCACGAGGTTTTCATCAGTGCAGTTCGGACTAGCCGACGTCTCCGCTGCACATGGGCTTCTGGCTGACGTCATCTCTGCAGGGTGTTGATATTTCAAATCATTCTGTTGAATATGAAATAATTCTTTCGTAAGTTTTATTAAAAGTGGGTTTACGCAAGTAGGGAACAGAAATGTTTCCACTGCGAAGTGTTTAAGATGCAACTCAGCTTGGACTTAATAGCCTTTATTAAAAGTCTGACCTACGAATCTTGGGTCACTTCAATAGCCTCCATGTATAAAGTAAGAATTCATTTCAAGATACATGAAACGTAAGGATTTTGAGTATCGATTCAATCGCTTCGGGGCAGTGTCGCTTTTAAGAGTTGTTTTATTTTAACTGCTCAGTATTGTAAAAACCAAGTGTGGCATGCCAACTGAAATAGTTGAATTTGGCTGATCTTCTTGGTGAGATAAATTAGTTTATTGCAAAGAGGTATATACTAGAAGGATTGTTTTAAACATGGTTATGATTCAGTAAATTAAATGTTTTTTTCTCTTTTTATGGATCGCTCGATGATTCCTCGCTCGTGAAATCCACCTTGTTTGTATACAGGCCTTAACGTTAATACTTGAGAAATATACAATATTGTTCTGGGTGGTGATCCCTCAATGTGTTGAATAACGCTTTTAGTCGTGAAGTGGTCGCTTTGAAATTTTGCCAGTGTTACTTATCCCAGCTTACACCACAACTATTTTGTGCATTATCGTAAACCTTCCACTCCTCGTCGCCGATTGTGATCAGACTTAAAATGAGAGGACGAAAGTGTTTAAATCAACAAAGCGAAAAGTTTCAATGTCAAACCTAAATTGTATCCAGACAGCGCAATTTTTCATACAACCAAGTCTCGCGCGTTAAATAAAGTATTTTTTTTAACCTATGATTTACATTCTAGTAGCGACGTTTAATCGCAATGGTTATTCAATAACCTACCAATTGGCCGTAAAACGACCCTTTCGTGTTTCCACGATGAAACAATTGTAATATTTAAGTGTTAAACCTACAAGTGTAGGGTTGCTACGCAAACATTAATGCATAGTAGCTATATAGGAATAGAAATTTGACCCCAGCACAGCATTTCACTCCACTAAGAACGGCAATTTTGAAACCATCACACAGAACGAAACAAATCCTATTAAAAACACCAACAAGATTTTGCGGTACTTAACATTCCCAGTTTTTGTTAACACACTAAATTCCAATAGGTTACTTCTATGATTTTTATAAAGAATCAATTACTTCAAAATTATAGTCATTACAATGATTAAAAAGTGAGCGGTTATTCCACGATGTTTTTCGTTATGAGTATATGAGTTAGTTAAAGGTGTATACGAAATCTGGCAATGATACATGCTCCACATGAATCGCACTATAAGAAGACCTGAAGTAAATTTTGTCGAAAGCATGAACGTGATTTTAAATTAATCAATCGGGGGTTGAATTATCACCAAATAAGAAAATGGGAGGTCGTGTTCCGCCACTGTCTCAAAGCACTATACTTTCGAGTTAAATAATCACGAGACTGTTATTACGACTAACATTAATTAAAGTAACGGCTGGAGAAAACTCTTACAGGTTGTGATTAACAAGGCTGTGTAATGCGAGAAAGAGTTTCTAAAAATGTCCAGTATTAGTCTGCATCCGTTGCAGCACAAAAGAAGTAAAATCTTAAACACTTTACTCATAAAAATTACGAGCTGCGTAAGCAAATTATGAATTTTAGCAAACGCTAATACAGGCACAGACACAGCAAACAACGATGAAACTAGGATTCATTGTGATAACTAATCTGTGCTTGAATGAATGAAGTAGTCATGATCCATAGTTTTACAGGGCGAAACAATCCTATTCCATTTTAACAAATCGTAGTCTGTAATTTAATAAGCCATGCGATCTCCTGCTTATTTTTGTGTGTGAACAAAAAGGTTGTGTGCGTTCATGAATCATTCGAACCTACTGAAGGAGAAGAAGTTGGTTTAAAGCACTCTAGGTCATATTTTTGGATGAATTTTGTTTTAGCTTACATAATTGCATATTACATAAAATCCCATGTCATGGAAGTAATTTTGCCTAAATTTTATTTTATAAATGAAAGAGCGGGTGGCTAACTTCGCTTATTTAACTACGATACGAGTGAAAATACAGGACACTCGATTCGGATAAACACGAATTTTTCAACCACATGGGAAAATCAAATTGATTTTGCATTCAAATGAAACAGTTTAAAAAAACAGCGTTTAGCATTAGCAACAAAATAACACCTCCCGGCCAGGTACTGAGAATTAATGGAATCACTTTAAATAAATACATTACTAACACTTGCACGGATGCTCCTCCACTCAGAGTGGGCATTTGGCGAAAAATTCTGGTACCCATTCTGCTTTATCGAGCTTCCGTCGAAAACGCTAGAAACGACGCTTCCCACGCCTCGTGTTAATGTAGTATGCTTTAGTGACTCAACCTTATACCTGCCCGGAGAACTGAGACTGGAATGAGGCCTGGGAATGTATCCCTGAGTAGCAGCGCTCTCAGTGGAATGAGTCATGCTCATGGTTGGATACCGCACCGGGAAAAGGTTCACCGGATGCTGCATCACTGAAGAGGACGTCCCCTGTTGAAGTTGGATAGGGGTTTCTACCTTAGACACCCCACAATCACGGTATGTTGAATTTGTCCAGTTTAAGGCTGCACCCCCTCGTGACTTTTCAGGGGACTGAGAAGTGGAAATTTTGAGGTACTCATTGGTGGGGATACCGTTGACAACAGATGTCGGTGCCGTTCCAAGTGAAGACTTTAGAGGTCGATTGGGTATCCGTGACTCGGAAACTTTGTAGCGATCTCCATTCATGTGGGGCATTGTTTGATAGCCATTTCTAGAATATTTCCCACGTTCAGTATTGCGCGAAAGCGGACGCAGTAGTGGAGACTTGGGAGGCAAAACTGGTGGAATTTCCTCCGAATATGTGGTATATAAACGAATTTGGGAGTTGGTTGTGGTCGGAATATTAGTATATTCACGGTTGGAAGACCGAAGGACCTCCGAATAAATAGTTCCCTGTCCGTTTATTTTATTGCAAACAGTAATTGGCTTTGTACTTTTTGGAGGCTTTGGAGGAACAAAAATTTCATAAGTTGCGCTAATATTATCGATGTCCGAGGACTCTTCCGAGTGGTTTGAAGGTGCGGAAGTATTCGTGGTTTTTTGAAGTCCCGTTGATAATGGCTTGTTGATCGTGGAGTTATCAAGGAAATTCGCGTCACTGGGGGTGCTTGAGTCAGGGCGAATTGTAGTTAATCGAGATCGCGTGAAGCCATTAGTTAAAGTAGATTTCAATATACTAGCAGGAAGAGAGCGACTTGATCCCTGCTCCATATCCGACCAAAAGCTCAGTACAGAATGAAATTCCGGTTTAGGTGATGAACGAAGTTGAGGCGCAGGTATGTTGGCACTCACACATTCCGGCGAATTACACATTTGTGAGATATTTCGGTCGCTGTCACTAAAACTCTCGTTGTAGTAAATCCGGTGGTTGGTATTACCATTCATTTTGTGGTATAATCAAAGTAATATCGTCTTACGTGCCCCTTTTCCCATCAAACGCCAACTTTTGTGCCATGAATGCAAGTGTGCGGGTGATAATTGTGCCTCATTGGCTTTATTACCACAGAAGTTAATTAAAACGCGCCAATTAGATCAGCCGTGGGTAACCACGATCGATTTAAAATGAGTACAAGTGTATGATAAACTTGCACATTTTGCTATCGCGCACATGTCTGCCTGCAATTGTGTGCTTCTGTTTTATGTTGACGTTTAACATCTTTGATTGACAGAACGAGTGATGGGCAATTCAAAATAATACATTATTTTAGCATCTTTTGATGCGCTATTCACTATTCACTACAATATTAAAAGAATGATGACTAAATCATTTAGCAACTTAGAATTGTAACAGCATCCAAGTTTTGGTTCAGAAATCCTTTTTAATGGCAAGTGACGTTAAATGTTAGTTCAAAAAGCAACAAACATGCGGCAAAAGAGCGTCGCAACGTGTGTAACTAATGTTAAGATTGTAATATAAATGCAAAAGTAGCGATTGGGAAGTTGCCTGCTTGTGAAAGGTCACCGCCTGGGAGCAATAAATTGTGGGACAACGCACCCGTCTACATATCAAAGATCAATGGTAATAAATCAAAGCATTTACACCAAAATGAGAATGAACTTAAATCAAAGCCCTAAAGATTGAGCAACGTAATATGGCGAAATGGATTTGAAAGCCAAACAGTACGTCTTGATAAAGCTACTTATTATTTTTAAGTGCTGTTTGAGGGTCTATTTTACCTTATTTATCGTGCAGTAGCATCATAGTTAAATATAAGGTAGGGCTACTATGATATTTATCATTTTTATATGCGGCTACTCTCCTAAAATGATCCAATTTCATGAGATGCCCATTTGGGAATTTAACCATTACTTGAAATATTATAAATACTAGTCGTTAGCAGTTTCAACCACAAAGACAAAGGGCATGGCTGAAAAACAATAGGCTTATAAATAATTGATCTAACTTATTGGCCCGAGTTGGCATTGGTAATCGGCTTCGGCTCTGAAAGCCCAATAACTTGGATAAGACAAAGGATTATACTTGAGCACACTACCTCGTGCCAACGCTATTTTCAGACTCTTTAGCTTTCGTCATGTTTGTCAATAAACTTCAAACTGGGATCAGTGAATACGAAATTGACCAAGCGTGAAGCCACCTTTCGCTACTGAAGATGCAAATACTTTGGATAAAGACAACGAAGCAAGAAAGACAGCGGCAAACACCATGCGAAAAAAAGCATCGACTTACTATTGATCTGTTGCTGCCCATAGATCTCCTTGCTACAAAACAATTTTAAAAAATCAATTATGAATTTTTTTAGGATTTCAGTATGCAAGCTTCAAAAAGGAAAAAAAATAACCCACTCCTTTAAGCTCACTGAATAAATCTAACACATAATCCTATAATAAATCAACCGGTCATTCAATTTCACCCTTCACACGGCCGATATTCAGGCCTTCACCACGATTTGTAACTCACTAATAAGTCGCAAGCCATACCAGGACCAAGTTATTTAGTTTTCAAATTAGTTGTTAATAAAGTAATGAGCTTTACTTTAATGGTGACAGATTTTTCTATCACAGTGTCTAAGAAACGTTGGAAAGAACTTGGGTTGTTTCATCAACATTATTGTAAACGAAATTGCATAATGAGTATTTTTGCAGCCGTTTGTGATGTGATGTATCAACAAATGCTACCGTACGCATAAAATGCGTGTCTTCTCTTATGTGGGACCTCCTTCCAAGTCAGTATACATTAATTTTGTAGAGGTATTAAGATTTACAAACTTAAAGCGCTTCTCTGGCTATAGGTTTTCATGAGTGTAAGCTTTATAAATGAACACAAACGTAACACGCCTGCCCCAATAAAAAAACGATGATTTAGATTTCTGAATCTTAACTGACATCGGAACCAACTTATGATTAAACAACCATTACAACAACGTGAATACTGAAGAGCAAAATCACTCACCTAAGGTTATGATTATTAGTGAATGCGGAAAGTAGTATATTATTGATTACAGTATATATCAGAATATTTTGGCATTGTGAATTACAACACAATTTAGGATACTGAAACCTGAATTGTGACCTTGAAAACAGCAGCGAATTGGCACTGCATCATTATTTCAATGCAGGAGATACAAAGCCAAGAAAACATGTCAAATTGACCCTCGATTGATGCTCTCGATTAGGAATGGCAAATTTGATTGCACATAAAATAAAGTCAATCAAGGTTTTGACACATGCATAATTCGCATCCTAAGTAATTACTCATGAATCATTGACTGTAGTTCGGCTTACACTAAAAACTTCCAAATGGAGTTGACAGTCAAGTATTGTCTGTTGATATTGAATACCAGAATGTTTGGCACCTCATAGTAATTTTGGACATATGAGGACAGTCAAAAAGAAGGTTTTATGGTTTTGTGTGAAATTTTGACCAAATACGATAACTACAAAGCACATCACTTGATATATAACCTCGAAATGTTTCTGATGATTATTTTAGCTGACACGACTCACTTTTATGATAAATTTTAACCAATACTCCTTACTTAGTATAAATTTCTGCCAATTTCGCTCTACACTTTTGTTTCGTCCTGTTAAGTTTTGATCTTTAATATCGTAGGTTTGATAGCACAATTCAGAGAATTACTTTAAATTTTCACAATTTTTAAGCATTTGGGTACTATGAATATGGGGTTAATGTATCTTTCCGTAATAATTGACAAGCCCCTGTAAAAGCAGCGGCAACTGATCTTGGCATAGTGATTTTAAGCAATTTACAGATAACCCAAGAAGAAATCAGAATACACCCACCTGAAAGCGACTTTTCAGCACTTGGCTTTAATTGTGCGCTCTGTTTATTCAGCTCAGACGATGAAGTTCGCTTTCCGCTAGCGAAAAACGCAGTGGGGCGAGGAAGCACAGTTTCTAAACGTGGTGTAACAGGACTCCGTGAGAGGCCCAGGTCTTTTCTTTTGCTGCTGTCCTGCTCAGGGGAGGAGCCACCTACCGTCGTTCTATCCCCGCCTGAAGTGGGTTTGCCATTCTCCTTGACTAATGTTAAAGTCTAGCGAATAAAAAATTAACAAAAATTAGACGCAAACAGATATTTCTTAAGTCAATTTGGTGGCCGAGAAAAGCAAATTGAAAGTCCAAGTTATAATTTCTAAGTGCAGTAAAGTAGTTAGTCGGGTAAAGCGATCGAATTAGCTGGCACTTTGGACAGATTTACCTTTGCAGATTCTTGTATTTAAATCATACTAGCATACGCGATTATACTAACATCCTGCATCACCCTGATAAGTCAATTTTTGATTGTGGTTCACACTTTGGCTGGGGTAAATGTGACACAGCAAGTACAACAAGCAGTTTTTGTGGCAATGAGGCTCCCTTTATGTTTAGTTAAACAATTATTGGTCAAAATCATCGGATCACGCTCAATAAAAGTTCCTAATTTGTACCTTTCTAAAGCAACCATAAGGATGCAGTCGAAAACACGGGACTTAGATTTAAAAAATCATTTGCCTGTACATATGTCGTTTAGCAATGCATTTTTACAATTTATGTAGCACTAATTGCATTGCCACATTATAACTTGAATTTCTGATTTTCATTATTTGATCACTAATAGGGGTAATTTAGAGTGAAAAACATCACAAATGGATAATGCTCTAGTTATACTTCTTTCAAATTTGCTATAAAAGAAGTCTTTAAAGCAAATCATTTTTCTTTAATTTGGTGGAATTGTGCAGAGTCTGCCCTGAGACACCTGAGTAACCGCGTTAGCTCGCACCATTTTGTAGTAGGGTGAAAGTAAACATCTACCGAGTGCTAAACTGTATCAGAATCATTAGACTTACTAATTTTTTTCGCTCAGTAAGTATAATTAAAAGGAGAATTAGAGCCACTCGATTCCTACACGAATGATTAAAGCAACATCTTTTATGTCATTTCGAATTTTCTGTACAATTAAACACATCAATGCTAATGACTTTCATTTGGCTTAAAGAGTGCTCACTTGTTCATCACTTCGACCATGACAAGCTTATTAAAAAACGTTTAATTATAGTGTTTTTAAGAACTGGATTTGCAGGTAACTAAAATTGTAACCAGAAAAACGCTACCACTTTATTGGAGGTGTAGGTGACACGTCTTCCCAATGAACCAATAGCATGTTGGTATCCCAATGATTAGAGAAGTAGATGGAAATAATGTCTGCGCAACCTATTTAAACGCACCTTACAAACAATCCGCTTGGAGACTGCAGACTGGCGTGATTTTGTGTCTGTGTTAACGAGGCTTCTTGCGAGAGACATACAGTTGGTTTGAGCATGTGGTGATGTGCACAAGAAGGGCTCGTTTGGCTCAAGTATGTGCTATGATTCAAACACCTGATTCTATAGGCCATCAAAATGCGTGGGCGTATTTGTGAATTTGGCTTACTCGAAATAGTCAGTTAACCTATTTTTCTTCAATCCAGTAGTACTGTGAACAAATAGCTCTAAGCAAGAAGCACAAATTAACCTGTTATATGAGGTACTTGGTATAAGGATTCGAGGCCTATTATCGATAACTTCACAATGGTACCATTTTAATCCAAGAATAAAAAGACCGAGTTGGGAAATTTTTGGATCAGATAAGTAGATTTTTGTAGTTTTCCATTGTTTTGTTTAACAAATCTACAAAGTCTATCATCAAGCCATTTATTTTAACAGTACTTATAAATTAGGATAGCCGCGGGACGGTGGCTAGCCAAAAAACCATTGTCTACACCAAATTTGCAAACACAAATCAATCATATACCCTATTAGATGACTGGCTACATCTTCTCGCTTGGAAAATTATATACTTTAGATAAATGCAATTTCTAGAAGAGATTGGAAGAAGTCTGTAAAGAAAAACCCCAAAACCAATGGACGTAACCGTCTAAATAGATATTATGGTGGTATCCACGTAAAAAACGTTACTAGTCTTTAACACATCCATGTGTGGCTTGTAGGTCAAGGCAGCTGACTGCCTAAACGAGCACGGATGACACTGTAATGACACAGTGAGGTTTTACCACAACGATTTCAGAGTTTACAGTAAGGTCCAATCGTTCGGACAAAAGGTGCTTACGTGGACATGGTCATGGAGGTTATCCATCGTAGGCATTTTGGCAGATTTTTGTAAATCCCATTTGTGCGACGCTGCTGGCTCATCTTTCTTCACCTTCAGCAGAAAGCAAGGATTAGGTATCGTTATAAAGCTTGCTGCTTCCTATGAAAAAATCAAAGGAATTAAAGGCTACATCACTAAACTTCAACTATGGTACTGTGGGAGGCTGCGAACGTAAAATCATAAGTGATAGGGGTTTTCATGGTACTGACGTCTAATAGTTACGAACTAAAATATTTAGAGCCCTTACTCGGGAAAGTGGAGGCGCTGACGACCTGAACTTCCGGGGAAACGCACGATCGGATTTTAATTTCGTGGCAGATTGAGTCAAGCCACGATCTTCAGAGTGCTGTCGTTGAAGCGCAGTGATATCCTCGTCGGGGGTGGTTGCAGCATAGTCCGGTGGCTGATGCTGCAGTTGAGTTGTATCACCAAGTAAAGACGGAACGCTCTGCATCCCTAGACTGTCCCGAGACTCGTAGGCGTTAAGAACGCTGACTGACAGTGTGCTTCCTGGTGGCGCATAATTTTGACGTCGAGTGAAACGTCTGCTCACACCCCTGTCAAAAGAAATAAGTCTTTAATTAATGAGATTTGTAAACTTTTTTATTTAAAAAAATTCCCACAAGACCACTTGATCGTGAAACGAGAAGAGCGGGCACGGACTATCGAACAATAAAGACCGTGGCAAATGGTATGCTCCGTCGCGAGTTCTACCTACCGCATTTGTAGAAAGTAATGTCTAGTCACGTTCGCTAACGCTGCCAACGGATGCTCTGACTCTATTCACTACACTTCAGCATCCGCAATGTTATGTGCTCCCGTGTTGACTTCACTCTCCCACCCACATCTACGTGACATCGGCCCGCGCAACACGCCTGGTCTTTCACCCGTCCCGTGTGTGTGTGTGTGTGTGTGTGTGTGTGTGTGACTCAGCGCCTACGCCATTTTGCACAAAATAGTGTTGAATTCTCTACCGGGCGGTCGGGTGATTGTTACCCTCAACCCAGGCTCTCTCGCTGTATCCGCGTAAGGTAAGGGGGTTGTAATAAAAGAGTTGGTCCTCACATGGGTTGGAGCCCCCCATACATTGGTGAACCGCTACGCGGGCAGTTTACATGTAATAGGGCTTGACTGCACTCATGACGCCTCAAAACTCAAACTGCGGAAAACTTCAAAGCACAAAAATGTAATCTCCAACCAGTGGTGCTTGATTTACTTACCTCAAAAGTCTGAAAGAAAAGCAAATAACCGTATTTTAGGAAAACCGTTCTGAACCGGCCCTTTTTAATTTGTAGTATTAGCATGAACTAAACTGTTACAGCACTACTACGGTAATTCAACTATTCTTTGCTTAAATGTTTATTCGCACTAGCCACGCGTCAAATAATTAGATTCAAATTAAGTCCTACGTAATTAGTACGAGTAGGATGATAATAAATACCTAAGAAAACCACGCTCGATGCTTCTCGACCGCCGTCGCAACTCCATTAACGTCGACATTGTGCGCTCCAACCCAGGGCCGGCTGTGCCAACGCTAAGGCTTCTCCGCGTTCTGGCACCGCGCCCAAGAAATAGGCGAGAAAAGCCACTTGGGGAGGAGGATGAGTAGGGAAGCAACTGGGGGTTCGAGAAAGCGGCGGTGGCGGAAATGGGGTTCGACTGACTCCCGCTTTTACCGTTTACAGCAGAGTAAGCTGTGATTCCAGTCGGTTCCTTGACTCGAAAAAATGTGTGACAGGTCACTGCGAACTGCCAGAAGACCTTGGCTCTCTTTGCAGAATCAAAAGTAAATGTGGGACTTCGGTTGAGTCTGGTGTTGCCTAGGGTAGTCGATAACTCAAGTGAATGATCCACTTTTGTAAGGCTAGAAGCTCTCTAGGGGAGAAATAAAGGAGAAGTTTTTTACAACAAGTCATGTGATTAAAAAAAGATGAACGATCCATACTAGAGGAATGACATTTTCATAACCAGAAAATTTAGTTAAGAAATGGCAAACACGGTATGTGCTGAAGTTCAGAAACGTTTTACAAGTACTCATAAAAATAAGTACCTAAAAGGTTCGTTTTGGAAACAAAAAATAATATTGAAGATGGAGTTGTTCATGTAAGTGAAGGTGATATGCTTGGATGCTAATAATTAGCAAAATTTCCCGTCATTTTAGTATTTTTTATGTACGTAAACGGCCTCAAGTATTGGCGTGAAATCAACATGCTAAACTTTAAGATAAAGAAAACAAAAACCATGCAATGAAATAACCAGAGATGCTTTTGGCTTCATTTATTCGTACTATCATTCAAGTACAAGATTTTGGTTCCCTGGTGCATGTAAAGGCTACTTTTCTTACAAATCTCCATTTTCAAGGCTTTTTCCAGACCTTTTTTCCGCATTTTCTTCACTTTCAACATTCTTTAATCTTTGGAATTTAATGAATGCTTTAGGGGTAAGTAATGGAAGTTCGAAAGTGGAACAACACCACAAACCACAAACGTAGGCCCTGGATGCACGAGCAATAATAGCTTCATCCTTGTAAGTCCTGCTGATTCGACCAGTCTTTGAGCAATTATATTTCATCAGACATTCTGTAATGTCCGAAGTCGTTCCAAATGGTTGAAACACTAGCATCCTAACTATCACGTCTAAATATCAAATTTCTTTAATAGAGACATTCGCATTATTAGATGCATTAACAACTAAGGGAAAACAATATCCCTAAACCGGTTATCTACAACAACGGATTCTTAATTTTATGAGTTAAACCAAGACGCAGTCCATAATCTGTGATGATGAACGAGGTTTGCGGCCATTTAGAAAAAAAATGACTGTAATAGTTTAATAAGGCTGGAAATAAGAAATATTGTCTGAGATAAGCCTTTGACTTTAAACCTTTGAGCGAATAACGGATGAAACAAGTTTGTAACTATTCTTTTCAAAAAGGCATAAAATGGGCCCATTAAACTGACCAAACGTAAATCGTCTCCCATTTCTTCTGGTTTAAAATCACGCTATGTGAAAATGATTGACTGGGCTTGGAGCATTACCGTGTCTTCCAAGATAGTGGTCACGACACCACTGTCATGTTATTTAATGTTGCATAATGGGTGTTTTGGGATTGACGGTACTTAAGTAGTGCACTCATTCGTGAGAATTATGATTACGTTATTTTACTACAAACCATCAAGTCATTAACCGATATGACACCAGTTGGTTCTGTTGCAATTGCAAATATTAATCCTGAACACCGAACCAGCTCACATGACTCATTAACATAAAGCAAATCAACCACACACGCACATGAATGCATATGGAACTCCGTGCAACTTCCCAGTTTGGCCAGTAGGCGTAGTTACGTTCTCTTAGCATCACCCGTCCTGATTACCTAGTTTTATGGCTTCCTTACCTCAGGGTGGTCAAAATGACTAAGTAAACGATTGGTTTTTGCTATTTTAATTACGCTCTGTCAAACGAACGCACTGACTGTTAAAATCGCATTGAAATAAAGGCAAGGGCATCTTGAAGCTGTCAAACGCGTGTGTGAGAATTACCGATGGGCGTTTTAGGTGCACAGCGAAGGCTTTCTTGGAGAAGGATATCCTCTCAATGTTGTCCCTGGAGGTAAATAAAAGAAAGAATTCTGTGTGTTTTACAGAAATTACACTCAAAAAATTTTCTAGATGACATTTCGGGTTGCTCGGCTGATTGTAGAATTTACTCTGGTGAGGAGTAGATTACAGTTTAATGGACAAATAAACAGAGCATACCAGCTGTAAAGGACGATTCGCCTGGTGTCTCGAAATACGCTGACGCCCTGTGCAGAAACACCAATGCTAAGTTTCTGCCGGTCGCGGTCCTAACGCCAAAAGGTATTTGTCAGTCGTGTGTGGCAAAAAATAATAGAACACAAAGTAGAATCAAAACGTTCCAAAAGGCGTGGCAGGCATTTATCAAAGTCAAATAGCTATGGAGACCTAAGATAACTTTTGATGGCATTATCCGTCGTGTGGCTCTTTTTTGCCGCCCTTTAATTGCATTGTAGTTGGCCGATGAGGGATTACATGGGCAGGAAATTTTTCGGAGAGCGAGGGAAAAGATTCGACTTCTCAATAGACAGCACCGACTGTTAGCGCTTTGCACCATTAGCATTGATTGTTTGCTAATTTGTAAAAATTGACAAAGAAACTTTTTCACAGCAGACCTAAAGACAGTAATTTTGTTATAGAAAACATTTGTTTCAAAGTTGAAAGGTGTAAAAACTTCGTTAAGCCACAGTGAACTAATGACGTAAAAAATTGGACTGAAGTTGTGGGGAGAAAACTGAATGAAAGTAGCACAATGAATAAGAGACAAATAGCGATACTTGGAAGTTTAATACAATTACAGTGAATATGGGAGCAGGTAACTGTTTTACTTAAATTGGACATAAATACGAAAAGTTTCAAACCTTAATCTTGTTAAGAAGCGACATTCTCTCTTACATTTATGGAACAGAGTGACGGGACGTACACCGTGCGCTCCAATGCACAGTTTGGGGAGGGGAACTAATGGGACAGAGGGGAGACCAATCTGCACACAAAGCAAGCATTAAGAAATAGCGTGTTCAATGGCGGAGTCCGTCAATGCATGGAATCTAACTGCCAAATAACTTACGTGAACGCGCCCTAAGGCCTTAAGGTCTTGCTGGTGGCGAACTAAAGCCTTGACATGGTATCAGTATTGTTATCATTAAAGTTAAAAAGAGGACTGTATCAACGTCGAAACCCATTGGCAGAAATAAGCAAATATAGTCTTCGAAAATCTAAACTTTTCTACACTAAAAATTGCATGGCAACCTTCCACGATAACTTGCGGACACGTTTAACCCCAACAAAACTTAACTTAATGGCGCGACTAAGCACCCTAAATTATTGTGTTTTATTTAAATTAGTGTTGCGGACGAATTAATAACATATTTGAATGTGCTTAATTATCCTAGAATGAATTTTTGGCAAGGTTGAAGTAGATAAGTGCGACACACTGCAAAGGAAGTAGGTTTGTTGCTTTAATAGTTCATAATTTTGTCACATTCACGTAAATTTGGATCTGAGTCAACAATAGCGAGAACGCAGCAAAAGCCAAACCAAAAGGACAAACGAAAAGGCGTAGTTTTGAAAAAAATTAATGAGTCAGGGTAATGAATTTAAACCAACGTCGCTAATTTATTTATCTGTATTTTTTTGCTTTTTGCAAAACACCGTAAATGGGCTCGTTTAAGTTTGACAAACGAGGGCATTGTATGCCTCTCAAACAAAGTCATTTGTTTTTGTGCTTGGAAACCTATGGACAAGTGTGACTAAAGTGAGTATCATTAGTGAAAGGCAACAGGGAGGCTCGGAAGTAGTACTTTGGGATGGGTTTACTCAAGAACCGTAGAAATCGAGTTAACATTGATAAAACACAAAGCAATATCTCGTGCTGCTGACAAAGTACCACCTGTTAAATATCTAAGGATCCTATTCATCCCAAGCCATTAAATTATTACTAGGAATTTCATAACTTTTTTGGAATTATTTGGCTGATAATGTCTTAAATATGGGCAACGACACTAAATCCAAATAGGCAGGGATCATCGTGCCTTCAAAAAGAAGTCAAATTTCTGTTTAGTTATGTTAATTTGAGTTCATAAATGTAAACTGGTAACATTCTTTAGATCATTCAAGGGAGCTTACCTGAGTCAAAACTTTTACGAAAATTTCCATCGAAATATTGACTAGTCCCTGATGAAAAATGCGGCGAAATTCAGCACGAGTAATCTACTAGGGCTACCGCTCTTAACTTGACCTCGTAAGGGCATTTCACTTTTAATTCCATGTCCTACGGAGCATCACTAATTAAGTAATTAAGACGTGCTAACTTATGAGAAATTGTAGTCTTAGGTAGTATCATGATCAATTATGGGATTCTGTTTAAATTATCAGAGGTTCTGGAATAGTGAAAGAAAGGAATAGGACTAATTTGTTCCTATAAATTGCACTCAATTGGTATTAACTTTGCATTGCCATAGGGATGTTCGCATTCCGCAACCAACCTAGCCTCGAATAAACCTCCTGTTAGGTCACACACAAAATCGCAATTAGACTGATTCCGTGTACATGGTCTGCATTTAGCGAATGAACTTATAAAAACATCTATAAATTATATGACAAATAATAAGGTCAGGGTTCACATTTCTGGCTTGGCAGAGGTAAAACTTGGAAACCACATTCGAACCCAATAGAGTAAACTCAGGAGTCACAACCACACTGCTAAGTGAGGTCTGCCGTCTGAACAAGGTCTCGGGAAAGAGACATCTGACGCCATAATATGAAACAACGTAATCAAATAAACACTCACAATTACGTCTTGGGGATGAACACCGTATAGATCGAGGCGCCTGGCAATATTGAGATACTCCAGCTCAGCTGCTGCAGGTACGTACGAACTGGTTAAAGAAAACTAGTTAAATTCCCAGCCCCTGAGCAGTGCTATGTAAAAATTATTACTGACCAATTTTTCCAACCGATGTTATAGATTTACGCCATTAACTTCAATAATTTCTTGGCTAGAAAATCAGTGAGTCACCTATCGTGAGTTTTGTACATACTGTACAATAGCATCGCAATACTTGAGCATGGTAACAAGACAGAGTCCTAGAGTGAATCGAACCGAAGTACTGAATGGACTTAAAATTAGTTTCGTTTTATTGACCTCTAAAGCGAAGGACTACGTCATTGAAAAAATTCAAATTTTCGTCAAAGCCCCTAAAATAAGTGCTGAATTAACCAAAAGGCACTGCAAATTCTTGTTTTAACTTCTCACTGCCCACAACAAAGCCAATTTTCTTTTAAAATGTTTGGATTAATGTCCTGATGACTACTCAAAAGTCATTAATAAGACAGAGACTAGTAGAGCTACAGTAATGAAAATAATTTGAACTGCCGTTTCTATAGAGGCAGCTGACCAAAAGCCAGACTGACACAACTTTGAGACTTATGGGATTACTGAGAACGCTATGATAAACTAAGCACATTGAATACAATGGTCTCGCTTGTAGAAGCTGTGAAATATCACGCAAGTTGGTTTAACTGTCAGAAATGGGTTTCATTTATAATTTAAAAAGAGATTTTGACGTACCGGTAAGATTTGTGAGCCTCAGTAGCTTCCACTTCAAAGTCGGAAGTCTGATTTGGAACTAGACGAATATGATTCGTGTAACCCGGCTTACAGTCCTCTACAGAGTAATCGCCTAATTCACCTGTAAAGGAATGACTATTTTTACTGCCTTATTTCGATGTAATTACATTGTATTGAGTTGTATGGTGAGTACGCAGGGTTGAAAGACTAAAGGTCACTACCGTTGTCGCATCATTGGTGAGAGCCATACACTGCCCATTAATGAATTGCCCAGTGACTGTCATTAGCTGACCTTTTATTAGTAAACTTTTACAAACTCACCCCTTGTAATAACACATCACAATTCAGTACTGAGAGTGAATAAACAAGCTAGTCCTAACCATTATAGCCCTCTACTCAACATCAGAATTCCACAAATTGTTTCAGAATTTTAGTAATTATTTCGTACTTATCATTATTAGTTACATTTACCGAGTCATGCTTCCACAAGCATTTATTATGACGTAAACAGAGGCGTCGAAATTGTGTTTACTGGGTTGCTTTTCTTAAACTTTTATGACTAAGTCGCAACTAGAGGCAAATAAAGACATCAGTACATTTTCTAACAAAATTATACATTAGTTATGTGTGTTTGGTATGGACTTTTTTCTGCTAACCGTACAAAGTGTTGATTGCGTACTAGGATATGTCCTTGTAGTCTACCCCCAACAATCAAAATTTCAGTAGTCAAAAAGGCGAGAAAGTCTTCCTCATGTTCCCAGACCGAAAGAAACGTAGATTTCATGCTTACTACAATGTTACCGTTGTCTGCTAAAATGCATTCGATACTTAAGGTAAGGGAAATCCAGGCATGTCTGCTTACTCTGCAGGCAAAGTCCGGCCATTTTTGCTAAAATTGGGGCAGTCGCGGTCAATGATCCGCTAAGCACATCCTTCCGTACTTGAAGGTAAACCAGGTACCTGCAAGAAAACAACAAAGGACTGATTAAATTTGATTTCACAAGGGGGTGCATGGTTATGCCTGGGTCCGTGAATGATTCTTAAAAAAAAGCCGAAGTCGCAGCCAACAGTGAGGGTTCAAAATACGACGCTCTCTAGTTGAAATTTTTAATTAGCTCTGCCTTAACGAAACGACCATATTTTTGTATGTCGTTGTGGGTTAGTGCTTACAAACTGCGTATTTTAAGCAGCCGCAGTTAGCCGATATAAGGTATTTCACAAATAGTCATTCAACCTAGCCCACAAACACCAAAATTTATCAGTGCGTCAAAACCAAACAACTAGTGTCAAGTCCTCCGTCCAGGGCATCGAATGGAACTTGATGACCTGATAATCTCCAAACTAGTAGTTAGTAAAAGCACAGAATTTAGACAGTTTTGAGGTTGGCGAATTTTGGGATGGCACTTTGAGGGATGACTACGCAAAACGCAATCACCAATGGTTAATGCTGTTAAGTAAACATCACTATAAAACACGAAGGGAGGAACATAGACATGTGTGGTTGGCAGAATTCAAAACAATTGTTTATAAAAGGTCTACGGGGTTAGAGAGTCTTATGCATGCATTTTGTCACTTCAAAAGGCACTTTTAACGAGAATTACTATAATCTTTCTTTTAACAGTGAATAACAGGTAACTTAAAAACCGAAAAATGTGTCCTCAATTTCGCAGTTTTGTTCACGGAGCACATTAATTAAAGCCCACAAAACAGACGCCTTTACAGCCGAAATTTCGTTAAATACAACAATGCACCTAAGTGCCATTTCCGAAGAGCAACTAACGCACTCGATCCCCAAAACTGAAGTCATAAATTTAATCGAAGCCAAATTTTGTGAATGCAAATTTAATAATAAGCTTGTTTTAATCCTTCGACAAAGACCACTGATTAATGTTCACAAGAGAGTCTTCAATAATCTGCTGCGAATTGCGTTGATTCATTACTCGTTATTCCGGTCACTCCAGCCTCCGACACAGGGTCCCTCTTCTGCAGCATGTCGCCAACCGCGCAGATCCTTGGCTCCCTTCTCATTAGCACTATCAATTAGTCTAGATTATCCTCACACCTAGATCTCGATGTTAGCACATTTATGACTCACATCTTAGGTGCAAATACACAAGCGCAAACGCCACACACGACACAAGGACACCAACGTGGGTGGGCTCTGAAGTAAACGGTTGTGTTCACGTCCTCTCCGGTTTTTGTTTTCATCACGAGCAGCAGGAAAACGTAATCGGGCCAGGTTTAACTCAACTGGCCCCAGTGTGGTTCAAGACCACATGCTGGGGCCTACAACGAATTGTTGAAAAAATGGAAAGACGAAATAAAATACTACTATTTTATGTTCGTATCTAGCAAAGACTTTGTTTTATTCCATGCCATAAGTAGGTTTATTTTGCATCATAAAATGGCGTTGCACGCTGATAGCACTAACATCTTGTCCGCTTTCTTCAAATTTTGCAACGGTAAATGATGTTACCGAGGAAAAGGAATACTATTGGCTTGTCCTAATTGGTTATTTACTTTCTCAAACTTTCTCCAATCTGCCGTGAAGGCCTTGTAATTTTGATTTAAATTCGACTCCCTTATAAATCAACGTAAAACGAGGGTTTGAAAAATAAAGTAACCTCTGTAGGCCCTATGATCTAATACACGTTTTATGATAAAAATAGGAAAGTCAACCACAACATAATATTTATACATCATGTTTATATAACAGAAGTTTAAAATAAACACTCTCAAGTTACTACCAAATTATACCTGGTGAATTCTTCTTGAAGCCAGAGGGGATCCGGTACGTAAAATTTTACACGAAACCAGAGCGTATGGGATGTAGCACCTATAAGGTTTAAAATACGTTCATATTTCTCCACTGGCTCAAATTGTAGAAAACTGGACATGTGTATCCCAAATATTCTATGGGAATGGAACCTAATACACCCGAAAGGTGGTGAAAACTTTTGTGCAACATTCAGCCAGTCGAATTCCGTTTTTGGAAAGTATGATGGTCTGTACTCAAAATATGGCTCATTGGTAGCTATTTGATACCAAAGAATCCTAGAGGATGGAAATGATTTTCAAAGTCAAGATTGGTTTTCCGAAATGTAGTATCAAGTTGGTTCAAACTTTAAGTCTACCCACTAAAATAAATTAAATAAGGCGAGCCATTACTGTGACAATATATGCTTGTAAATATTGGTCCAATTGAAATCGGTGTTAATTAGTTAATGGGACATTTAAAATTAAAACATGGGACAAATGCTAATGGCACCATTCTGATTTCTGTCTCCAGGTATAATTTTGGATGTCACATTAAACTAAATTCGATGTGAATTTTTTTCATGATAAACACATTTTGCATTCATCGTTTTCTTTATTTTTAATTAAAAAAGTCTTGTAAGTGATCATGGCTTCTGCAAAAATCTGGTAAATTAAAGCACATGGTGTATTACATCAGTTAAGATAGTAGTACGCCTTTCACATTAAGTAATTTGAAACATTCTGAAATATTATTTTTTGTCCAGCATTTAAAAATGAAACCTCGTCCCAAATCTCAACAGCCAGTTCGCAATAGAGCTAAAAGCTCCCAACAGTCTTTGGGAATGGCAGATGCTTTTGCGTTAATACGTAAGCGAATCCAATGTATGAAGTAGATGCTATTCACACATGAAAGCGTCAACTTTTGCGAACCAAGGACAAAAGTCGCTGGAAGTAATCACGAGAACAATACAGATGTTCGTCCAACGGAAAAATGCGAATGATGACTTCCCAACTTGCCAAAAGTCCTCAGGATGTGTTAATGTATGCGCCTCTTTTACTAACTAGGGTACCTTTCGCGTTTGTCTTGGTTCTGTTAAGACGCTATCAAAATCCGATGGTAAAAATAGATCAAACGAGATGCAGATTTATGGGAGTTTTTGCTACTCAACTGCGGCTCAAAAAATATTTCGGACATAAACTATAGAATTACGGCAAGTTGAATGTGAATGCTGTCATTGTCTGCTCGAAGCAACCAAAACATTTACTGTAGCATTGTCACACACACACACACAAGCGACCACATCAATTAAAACCTTGAATGTCAATTTACATATTTCAAATGGCCCCATGACGACACTGTTTTTCAGCCTTTAAAAGTGCACTGTCAAATTGACACTACAAGAAAGTGTAGTTTAAAAAATTGAGCATTTCCAACGTCACTACACCCATGATTTCTCGTTGGTGTGAAACAGAAATAGAATTTAAAAAAAGGGAATAAAGAGATCTAAAAATGAAAGTTGATAGCTATTAGTCCCGGTCTCCAATTTTGGTCTACGTTTATTCCCTCCAATCGCAACAAAATGTAACGTGTCTGCCATCCATCGAAAGCGGAAAAAGTGGGTGATTCCGTAAGTGCATCCTCGACTTGAAAGCGAATTACTTTAAAAATACTTTTAAGTAATATAATATTTGTCGACCAATAATTTACTCTTAATTATTTCCTGTAACTATCAATGTTTAACCAGTGTTGAATGCCTTCATAGAAGAAACTGTATTGGTTCTCTTCAATTTTTTGCCTTTCAAAGTATTTTCCCAGAAGACGAAGTCGGTGGAAATCTGAAGAAACAAGGCCCGGGAAATAGGGATGGTACTCGAGGATTCCGCATTCAGTGTATGCGTCTGCTGTGTGGAGTGCATGGCGAGTGGCGCGTGGTCTAGCATTGTCGTGGTAAAAGATGAAACTCCTTTCAAAAATCAAATTCAGATGCCTTGTTTGAATTCACCAGCGAGTTGAGTGAGTGATTCACGGCACTTCTCCGCACTTATTTTTGGGCAGCGCAAATGAAACCTCGTTCAAAATTACTGCTCTACAATCGGACCAGGCAGTACACCTCTGTATGATGCAACGAAGCGCTTGCCGTTGATTCTGCTTTTTCGATGCCATTTCGCATTTCCAGCTATAGCTTGCTCCATTACAGCCTCGTTTTGTTGACGGGTAGGATGAGAAACGGCTGTGCAAACGCGGTGTAATTTGTTATGTCGAAACACGTGGAACCCACAATTCGAGTTTTGAAGTGCATCTTCGTTACTTTAAATGAAGAAGCGCAGTTAAATTGACACCATTTAGTCTTTCAGCAGTCCCCTTATTAGCATCCCGATTAAATTGCAATTGAATTGACTCATGGCGCATTCGGACTACTGTCATTTAATAGATTGATTGCAGAAGAAACAATCTGACATCTTTGAAAATCGGGCAGAAACTTTTACAATCAACAAATATAAAAGGTTAGTGTTTGTTTACGAATTCGTAGATACGTCGTTTTTATTTTATTGATTCGTTTACTTGAAATTTAGTGTCATCTAGGGGAAAAAAATAAAACTTTAAGCAGAAAATATCCAGTGATGCTATTCAGAAACGATGTGTTTATTTAGGCACCTCTAGACTTCGGTGAATCCAATGACCATTTAATACCAGAAAATACCCAAGTAGTTGTTCCATCAGCGTTTTGTTCGCGATGGTTGTGTAGTCAGTTTTCCGCAAAAAATGATCAAATGCCTTATGTAGATGTCCACCAATACCAAAAATGTTTGTGAGCTAGTAGCAGATCCAGGCTTTGTGACCAGGCCTTTGGTATTAGGCAAGCCATTTCGAGTTGTTTCGAGTAGCCATTGAATTATTTCATAGACAAGACAGAATTCAACGTGTAGACGTGTACAAACCACATGTATTAACCCAAGAGAATCGTTTTCAACCCGATAATTAGTCTGCATCATAAGCGAAAACAATGGTTTAAGTAAAAATGTTAAAAATACTGTGATGCCTAAGATATTGTTCCACTTATTATGGATTTCCACGAATAATAGAGGCTGCCTATCCCCATTTTCGATGAAATCCGTCAGACGACACTAAAATAGCCCCTTGGCTTAGTTGTCACTGCAGTGATCACGGTGATAAGTATACAAGACTGGAGTGGAAAACTGGTGATGTCTTAAATCAAGAATACTAACAGATAATTCACGAAGTGGGAAATTTTTCTTAAATCTATTTTTTATAGCCTTCTAAGTGCGTCAGACTGACTCTCCTTCAATCGGTTGTATTAAACTGAAAATGCCCAACTGTTTAACTAACCGGATTTTACAATCTCCTAATCTAATCAAACTGATCAGAACTCATGTTTAGAACTCCGACAAGTAGACAACCTTCGTACCTCTGTCAGGTGTCGTTGAGTACGGTAAAATTAATCGCTGTAAAGGCGAGACTACCTGACCTAACTTACGATCAAACGATGGGATTTGACACCTTCACCCACCCCCACGTTAAGTACCCCATGGGACATTTAACCTTAGAAATCTGCAATTCGAAATAAGCTCGTGCAACCAAATATGGCTTTCTGCTGGGCTTGGTGTGCAGATAGCAACCTGGCCCCGAGATAGCTCGCGCACTTGTGTGCATGCGTGATAGTGAACAAGCATGAGCTCAATGTCTGAATCGTCAACGGACGCCCGCAACTTGTGCGCCATGGTTACAGTTTGTGCGCGCATGCGTTTAGCCTCGTGAATCCGGCGCGTGAGCTATATCAGGCAATTACAAGTTGCACACTCACGCCATCTAAATATCACCGTCACGTCAAACACTAAAATCGCTCGATTGTAGATTTAGGGACAATGCAACGAACATGAGTACACGTAGCAGAAAAATGCAATGTGATATTTGGTCAGAAGTTCTAATGTAAATAAACAATAGCAATCGTAGTTTCTGGATGTGGTATAGTCTCGCCACTCAATTTAAATGCTTAGCATTTCAGTACAATCTCAAGCCAGTCAGCTTATATCACAAATTGCATGAAACGTGATTTTTAGGTATTTTTGTTTATTTTGCTTAAATATATACGCTAGTAAATACGCTTACGATTTCTCTGAAAGCGATAAACCAGCAGTAACTGAGAAAAGCAGAAATGACTATCAATAGGCTAAAGATTGGATTTTGGTAAAAGAGACAAACAAATGAGATTCATGTATGAAGAATACCAGGAGACAAGTGTAATAAGTAATAGCTTACCCCTCAACTGTTTTTTTAATGACTTTGAGGGTTCAAGCCATCGCTAAAATAATAATGTACATTATGGGATAAACAAGGCTGAAAAACCTATAGTGTCTTTCATACTGTAATAATCATACCAATAAAGGTCCAGGATTGCAGTTAAAATCATTGTATTGCAAGCCAAAAAAGTCCCGTTCAAGGAGTTCGATAAAATCGAAGACAAGGTCTATAAGTACCTGTCCTCGAGCATTTTTCTAAAGAATAAGAAAATATAAAAGCTCTTTAAGTTAACATTACCACACGACCTGCATAATGATCGATTAACAAATAAGATATGGCTAAGTATCAGTGCTTAAAGTGAGAAAACCTATATTTCTTGTCATTATGCATCTCAGTATGGCTTATGCTGAATCCAAATTTGTTAACTAAAGCAGTCTTCAAATCTTCATTTCTTGTAACTTCTAAATGCAATTAACAGCATTCTGAAGACCATATCAGCAGTAGATGATATCAAAAAATTGTGACTAAAATACTGAAGAAGGCTTGAAAATGCTAGCGCCCAATTCTATGCGCAAGGATTTAATCTACAGTAAAAGGGACCACGTGCTTTAAGCGAAAGTGTGAATGGCCACTCAAAAACTAAAAACATGTCAATAGTAGTAACCAATAATAAAACAACAGGAGAAATTTTTGCCAGACCCCGTGTAGAATCATAGTAAACAGGTATTTGCATCGTTAGAATCAAGAAATTACATCCACAAACTGTGCCATTAAAAAATTCTTACAAGTGCTAATAAAAGGTTTCACATTACCTCAAGTTTAAAAAGCTCGGATTTGTCATCCAAAAAAACAACATTGCAAATGATTGGTTTAAATGGTAGTAAGCGGGAAGGATTTTCAGCTGCGGATACACTGTAGCTGCCCTTGAGTTGGAAAGTCATCTCAGGATATTCGCATGGTTGTCCTTGTTAGGATTTTCATATGCGTCTTACCTAAAATTATAGCATTGACAACAGTCGAAAAGAAAGAAACGTTGCGATGTGATAGGTGTTGGCTCATTCGCTATTCTTACGTACATGAATCCCTTTTTTTAATTTAGAAAGATTTAATACACCTTCTGGAATTGTCCAGCTAGAAATTAAATTCACGACCCTTAATAACTGTAGAAATTGCTGCCACTGAGTTGAAGACTGTAATTGAAGTTAACAAGACGTCTTTTTATGATCTCATCTTGCAGCACATTTACATTAAATGGGCCCGCCGTACTTGACTACTCAAATCGGGATGAAAATACCATTGTTTATGCAATACGCATAAAACTAAGACCGATTTCTTAAAATTAAAAAGAGAAACTAATTCACATTTCAACATTTTTTAAAGACCTTAAACTCCACCCATAAGTTTTTAAAGACGTTTACACATTTTTGGACGACTGGAGCATTTAACACATCGCATACTAAGTAAGGCCTAATTAGTGGTTTTTAAAAGAAAAGATTGGAACTTATGCTCCAAGCCTCACGTTCAAAAGATAAATTCTGCAAAAAGAAAGGGCACATTTTTACGACAACTTAAAATTTTATGTTCAGTCTTCAAAATTATTTTTCCTAATGCGATGGTTTGGCGTTTCGATACATTCTATTCTAGGAACCATTTGGTTGCTGCAAGCAACAAAGCCTTAAACCATACACACTTTGAAGTCTTTCAAAGACAAAAGATGATTAGTTTTAAACGAAAACAGCAAACGTATGACAAAGTTCTGGCAGTTCCATCCAGATAAAGACATACTATGAGTGTTGTCGTTTGTCCCATAGATCAAAAGCAAATAAGTATGCAAAATCCTAAGCCCATAAAAAAAACTGCAACCGGATTGCAAATTCGGATCTTAATATTCAATTTGAAGGTAGATTTGGATAAAGCTAGGATAACCAACAAATTACAACCATTATCACTTTGGCTATTAATTGCCCAAGAAACCAAGTGTAGTAGTGGGTATTATTACGAAAACTTTGCTGGTCACCAGAAAGCAAAGAGAAGAACGAGCATGAAAGAACATTTACTATCCATTTCACTTGTTACAATTAGACTGATGCTTAAAAAGCTCTTATATGTTTAAGAAAGATCAAAAGTGTTTAGAAAATCGAGCAGGGTGTTGGTAAAATAGCACGAGTTAAAACTTTGTTTCAGATGAAAAGATCAAGGGTAGTTAAATTGCAAAAATACTGCCTGAATCAAATGTCGAGTAACGTACCAAGTCGTCACGAAGAAGGACAAAAAAGTGTAAACACAAAGTTCAAAATAGAACAGGCAAATAGCAAATCCCGAAAAACGACGGTTCAAATCTGTTACTGTTTACGATTGGTTAATTAAAAGACGATCTAAAGCAATGGCAAATAGTGATTATTTTATGACGTTAAATTACTAACATACCCGTCATCTGTAATTATTGTATCAAATTACGCAATTTTTGACGAATTACTTACTAAAAATGCCATGATATTAATTATTTGGATGACATCAAAAAGGGAAGCAATTTAAAGGCTTTCCCTTTGTTCGCACTTATTTATTATCAAACAACACTCAATCAGAAAAGCGTGAGCGCCATAAGGAAGGTTTGCAAAAGTTTTCTAGCAGACGTTAACCTGCTTCATTGTACAAGATGGAATTAATTATGCCTTAGCCCAGGTAAAATATTACATTCACGATACACTAGCATTCTTGTCTGCGCATATCCACCGCCACTTAAAAAGGCCTTTTCTTCCAAATTCCTTTTGAAGGATTTTTTAAATTTTTGTAATGACAAATCGACGAATGTGATGTTAAAATGGGAGCTCTATATCCCTATATATAAATTCGTTATGTTAATTTTACGTATGACTTTATTCCTCACCCACCAATATTCTAAATTTAACAGACTTGTGAGTTAAAAGAAGTTGCATCTTATTTAGGCAAAATGTGGACTGTGATACAGCGTTAACAATATTTGTATAGCGAAAGAATTTGAAATACCCTATTGAAAAATATTTAACGATGTATTGATTAGACCTTACTCCACCAAATGCAACATAACTTGCTATCTTTGTGTCTACCATACTACACGTATTTCCTCCCTTTTGGCTGATGACAATTTTCAATTGCGCGCTTTTTGTAGATAAATTTATTAAATATTTCCCTTAACGTAATAAAATATGTCTTGCTTTAAATTTGTTGACATAACACAATTCATACATTAATTATGACTAAATCAGTCTTTCAAATGCTGACCTTTAGTCGCCGTTTGTATCAGTCACTACAAGAAGTGAGTTTATTGCTTCTCTCCCGCCGTACATTCAATTATGACGTTTTTTAGAAAAGCCTTTATGGTAGTGTCCGCAGCTGCTATAAATGCTGGATATTTAAATGTCAATCGATTGATATGCATAAATATTTTCCAGCAGGAAGATTCAACTAAATCCGTACGTATATCGATACCATCTTGAATAATGTTTTATGGACAGTCAACTTCTACTAAGTACGACCAACACTTTAGGCGTTTTGCTTCTCGAGAATATAATGGGGTTCTCTACATGACGCCTGATGACTTCTTACACTCAATTTTTCTAGATAAATCGCCAGGTATCCACTTGCACAGTAATTTTAGCAAGCTTTAGTGAGGCACTTTCATTCACTTTCATCTGACGAAGTAAGAGCCATTCTAAGGAAAACTCCTAAAAGTTCTTCGTCAAACTTTTTTCGAATGCTTGGAAATCAGGGACTCATTTCATTTACTGATTATCTATTTATTCTCGGATTGCTCAACAGTGAGTTTTGATAGACTTGACAAACGGATACAGAACCAAGTTCAAGATTTGAAGTACTGTTTGATTTACTTGATGACGATTGCAGTGGTGCGATTGATGAAGGTGAATTTTCTGTGGTATGATTCAAATAAGTTTATTGTGTTATGCCTCAGCTGTATAAAGTTTCGGCTGGCGTTTCAAGTGTGGGGGAAACTCCAGGTAGTAGACTTGCGTTGGTAGGTTGTCTCATTTGTACTAAGTCAAAAGTGTCCTGAAGACAGCTTTTCCAAGCAGTCAACACTAATGAAGTTTTTCTTTGGGGATGACGGTAAAAAAATGTTGCAGAAACAGCAATTCTACAGGTAATCACTTTGAATTTCGAGTTTTCCTGTAGATTTATTGAAAACGTCCAAAATGAAATACTAGAGGTGGAGTTTGCGCTGAATTCTCCAAGTGGTGCCGTAATTTCTCCAACAGAATTTGCTCAAGTCTTGCTTCACAATACTAACATCCCAGAATTACATTATGATGTGTTTTTAAGCCGCTTAAAGCGACTTCCGTCAAACATGGAGGTAGTGTCAACCCGTGTTTTTAGTGGCTTCTAGATCACACTCGATGATTTCAAAAGTTTTTATAAGTTTATTAATCATCTGGATGACTTTCAAATGGCAATGAAAATGTATCAGCTTGCCAATAGACCTATTTCTTTATGTAAAGTTGCTGAATTTCATATATGATTTAGCTGAGTTCAAACGCGCAATTCGAGCTTGCACAAATGTAGACATGCCTGATCATATTTTGCAAACGCTTTTCTGTATGTTCGATGCAGATGGCGATGGGAAAATAAGTCCAAAAGAGTTTATGGTTCTCTTTCAAAATAGAAGAGCTCGGGGTATTCACAAAGTAAGTTTTTGAGTCTGCTAACGGATTGATTTAAAATGGACTGTGACAACTTGCGCTTGTATTTACTCTGTCATCAACCGCTTTTTACTTGTTTTTATTGACTACGTCAACCACGCCTTTGTCTTTAAAGTGATGCAGTATAAACTAGCACTTCTAGATGCATCTTATATGTGAAATTGTTGACGTTGAGCTTGGATGCTTTAAAGCGGCAGCGGATTTTATATCGTCAATTTAATGTTGATCTAGGATGCGATTTTGAGAGTTTAAATGTGTATAAAGGGAGGTTCACTAAAATCAAATATCTTGTTTGAATGTGGGACCTGATATTACTCGAGATTAAATTTCCTCATTTACGATAATAAAAAAACGTACATCTAAAACGAGGTACTTATTTGCGTAGGAATATTCAATCGTTTGCATCCATTCAAAAGCCGGCGGGCGCAGAAAAAATCTCTTTAGCTTGAAAGCCATGAACTTTGTTTACGTCAATTTCTTAATCATTCATGAAGTGTATTAAATGACACGGAAGCAGCTTAGATTTCTATGCTTTTTTTTCAGCAGCAGCTTTTAATAAAATCAACTTTATAATTTTTAATACTGAATTATTAGTTTATCCTTTTTTATACCATTACATGTTTTGTGGAGACTGTAGTCACCTATAAATTTACTGTAACGTACTATACCTAAACATTTCAATGGGTTGCAATTTACTATTTTAGAATATTGACCACAAGCAGAAACTCTGGAAGGACTTCAAGAAGTGTGTCACTCGTGCTCTCCGTGAGCAGTAGGTGTATGAACCTCTCAAACATTTTGCTTTGTACTTCTACACAAGGTAAAGCTTTTTAACTCGATCTATTTTTTACAAATAAATTTAGTTTGGATAAACGTATCTCAAGATTCCCTGGTCGTAATTATTTAAAAATGTATATTTTACTGAGCGTTCGTCGACGGGTACTTTTATACAGACGATATTCAACATATTTGTCTTGCTAAATTACCGTTCCTGCTATCCATCAGTAACAGCAAAGGAATTATTGCTCCCGTTTTTTAAAATTAAATTAAAGATTGTGAGTGATTGCAGGAACGCTTTTGTGGGAGATATCACCATTCTAGTAAAATATTTATCGCATTTTGTTTCCAGATATCTGAGTGAGCACCATTCCTGTCGTTAAGTTAGGATTTGTGAGTTATGCTTTGACACTTAATTCGGTACTTTACAAAGGCATTAGCAATAATTTGAGAGCTGTGAGAGTCGTCGTGGAGTAATTGTGCATTTGCCTATATGAATATCGATCGCAATGCATGTGGACTTCACGTTTTGAGCTGTAATTATTTCATAATCCTGGCATCGACACTGTGGTTTAAAGACACGGATGACGAGGACTCGTTAATTTGATCAGTTGTTTTGCGTATAGTTATGTGGTTAGGTTGTGCAAAAAAATCAATGTGTATCAGACAGTCACCAAGTAAATATTCATGGTTCTGAGTCAATAAATAACGGAAAATGGGCAAATAAATTCTAGGCCAGTTCGTGCAGAACATGAAAATGAAATTGCTTAGCCGTGAATGTTTTGAGGTTAACGAAAACCTCAGCGTAGTATATTGGAAAGACTTTGATGTTGTAGATTCTAACTTTTTCTTATAACCCTGTCTCATTCGATACTTTAAATGCTAGGATAACTTTGCATTTCAGCCACGTGACAGCCTTTTACTTATGTGAAGTTTCCGAAATGTTTACCGAATTTAAACCATGGCACCAGGAACTTTAAACAAGCATTTAATGCCCACCACATATTTGCCAAACTCCATAATCGGCATTTGATTGCGTTGCAATTGGTTAACTAGAGTTCACAGTGGACTTTGGTACGAGCTCATAAGAATTTCTTGAAGCACATGCTACACTAAGTCATGGTGGACCACAAATACACACTTTTGGGCATTTGAAGTATAGAAGCTGTGAATGAGAAAGTGGAATATACCCCATGTTCATGAGATTGTCTGTATGAAAGTGTCCTTCAATGGTTTTCGTCAGTGCTTACTTTATAAAGTGATGTGGATTTGTATTCTAAATAACTCATGCTGTGACAAATGTGGACATCTTCCACCACTTGAAACTACATACCCACTTTGATTTACTGGTGCCATTTAAATGAGAGGGCACGGTTAGATATTCTATCAGGTGTACAATCCCCTGCAAAATGAGGGCTTAGCATGTCCCTCAACCAAACATATTTACTGTCTTTTGGCGCAACCTTATTTAATGTTCGTTTTTCTAGAAAAATATGCACATTCCATATTGTTGTGATGAAATAACGCATTCCTAGCTGCTTTTGCTATTTTTTTGCGGAATTGACTCTGATGTGTTAATCAACGTGGCAGAACCAAAGCGTAGTAATCCGGTTTCGTTTGCTGTTGATATTGCGTTTCTTAGGGTCACAGCATTGCTATTCGCGTACCTCATAAAAAGCCTCAAACTCTGCAAAACGCCTTTGCAGGTACTGAGGTGCCCCGTAGTAATCAAAGTACCGCAAAGCCTTGACGCTAGAAGTACTCGTTTCTTCATTTTCCTTTTTTTTGAGAAGTAGGAACTTACTGTGAAAAATTTTTAAACTGCTACCGTTATTTGTTTGTAAACTACCACTTATTACTCAGACATAAGTCGTAGTTTTTGACATCAGAACGTCTCTATGGAAGAGTACTATGAAACCTAATGAAACAAGAGGCTTTTACCACGAAAAATAATTTTTAAAGGACTAAATCGAGCTGCTTGTTTCAAAAATTGGTTTCAGTGTTTGGTACTTGTAAAATATGCAGGGTGGTGCATACGGAACGAATGGGAGTTTATTCAGTATTTATTGCTCAAGAAAAAATGGTTCTAATTTAGACTAATCCCGTTAATAATTTGAATCGTATTAAACGTTTTATATTCCTATTGGTTGTTGCCACAGTGTTTTACGTGCATGGTGGTGCTTTAGCTGCTCACAGACCGGCTGCGGGCGCATGCTGGATCAGTGCAAGTTTGTTTATACTTCGGTCCACTTTCTTAGCTTAAGTCCAATTTATTCATCATTTTCTTGACCCACAATAAATCAAGATGACTTATGTTTTGAAGATGAGTCAGTAACGCGTTATGCCTTCGTTGAAGCAACCAACAGTGGCAGATCCTATTGTTTTCATGGAGCAAACAGATCACTTGTAATGATAAATTACACGATTCACTTCCTCCCTACAGTCTGGTTTATGCAGGTTGAGACTCAACTTGGCAACATTAAGGGGATATCCTAATTCTTCCTTTACTACTAAGACTTCGCCACGGAAATTAATGATTTGATTAAAACATGGCCCCCTGAAAATTCCTATGATAAATTGGGACCTGTCTGCTACTGAACTAAGAGGTCTTCTCGAATCCCTCGGCATATGATCCAAAGAGTCAATGACTGTTCTGCGCCACTTATGGGCTAAACGCCTTCCGGACAAAAAAACTCAATGGCATAAGTTCGTTCCAAGCCTCTACCACACCATTGGAGAAGGTTGCTGAAATAGTCGATACAACTCCTGAGTGTTTCTCCTAAGGACTAGGACAGAAAACTGCCTTCTGTGGCATAATGCTGGCACCTACAATTTTGGGCAATAATTAGTTGGAATAACGGAAGGACAAGCTCTCATTGAGAATTAAGGAAATTTCTTTGGAACACCCACAACGACGACAAAACTCCATCTCACGTTTTAGTCAATATTGTCAACCTAAGAAGAAATCAGGCATATTTTAGTATCACCATCGCTATTACGGTAAGGCTCGTGTTTGCAACCACGTGTACAGCCACATTCAGGCCTTCAAGCTTCCTGAATACTCATAAACTCTTCTCAAAAACTGACTAGCAGCAGTGACGACTGGCTTAGGCACTCCATCTACATGCCTATGTTATGTTTCTGAGGTTTAAATACTCTTGATTAGCTTTACTTCTGCCAGGATCTGACAAATACTACCTCAAAGCAGCTGTAATTGACCATCGATGACTTTAAATCAACACGTGAGCAAGCTTCACTCACACTCGTTTGATGAAAGTCCACTGTAGAAGTTTCCAAAGTTCTGAAATGGAGACAGTGGTCTAACACTAATACCACAACAATGCAGCGATGACCCATTAGACTTTTCAAAATATTTTGAGAATCTTGTGAGTGCTGCCCAAGTGTTTGTGCTGAGATTTGAGACTAACATAATTTTAATTCATAAGGATCTGTATTAAAAGTAACAGGTGCTGAATCTTTATTATTCAATGGTGAGTACTTTCTAGGACTGGTGGTGAAAATATGTGCTTGGCGAAGGCACGGCTCGTAGGAAGGTGAATTGGCTGCCTGATTTAATGCATGTGGCTCACAACAAAGAAGCACATGTGTACACATGAACTATATCAAATGATATGCAACAGGGCTCACTGTGTGCAAATGTGCTGCTCTCTGTGTGAATCCAAAAACCCTTGCTAATTAGTTAATAAGCAGACGTATCACTTTCCGTCAGCACATTGGCCACGAAATCAGCTAATGCATGATTGATTTACTTGGATACCCAAAATCTGGCAATATAACTCCATCCGGCTAAAAGAAGGGGCTGGACTCGAACCCCTCCAATGATGTTTTAATAACTCATAGCACGCCAGAGATCAAGAAAACGGAAAAATAAAAAATGTTATTTTGTGAGTCTAACCAAAATACCAGCAATCTCTTAAAGCTCTGCTCACCCATGACACCTATTTGGACACTAACTGCACCCGACAACGTTGAATGATTAACGGAAACGGAAGCTCAGTTACACGGTAACCGCAAAATTAAAACCAGCTTAATGGTAATATGCAGCAATTTTTTTTCTCAAAAATATTTAGGAGAATAATTTTCTGATAAAATGTAAGATTAACTTCCTTGTGCAACTAACTACAGTACCATACTTATGATTGGTGACGTGATGTGCATTGGCACCACGTCATACCACTGCGTATGGAATGAGCATAACCAATCAAAAGCCCTCCGGCTATGCTCAATCTTGTTCTAAAATCAGGACATTAGATTTCAAATAATTGCTCCTTTTTCTCGGTTTGATTTAAGATATCTCACAAGTGCATAAAATAGAGTAAATTTTCTGTTCGGCGAAGACACTGGCACATAGTTTCCTAGATACACTTAATTCTTTTAACAGGTGAAATCCTAATTAAATTAAACGTAACAACACCTTAATTAGGTACAGTAATGTGGGACCTTAATATTACCTGACCTCGTCAATCGTGCATGTTAGTGTACGCTCCCTTTTAGACCTGCTTCTGTTATTAATTGAAAACGACTTTGTGCTTTTATATTAGACGCATGTTTCGTGAGATTACTTTGTATTTTTCGCCATTATTAATTATTAAATATTCGTGAACTCAAGATTTATGCCAGGTCTGGGAAAATGAAGTAGTCATCGCAAGGTAGGAAGCGTTGGGACAGCACTCCCAAGTATTCAGAAACGTGAGTGTTTTAACAAAAATGAATCCGATAATAATTTGATTTTGTAAAAGTTCTTTTAGACATAATTTGTGGCTCACTTAGTTCATGATACTAGAATACATTACTGAAGACCCCTACATGTGGCTTCGAACCACAATGGGGTAGCCAAATTGAGTTGGCCTGGTTACTTTACGAAGACATCCTACAGAACTAAGAAGACAAGATCGTACAAAGACATCCTAGAGGACTAAGGAGACAAGATCGTACATTAGTCGGCTCAACTTTGATGTGTGATGCGCCCTGTACATAA